TGCACCAGCAATAATAGGAAGAGTGAGTCATGCAGAATTACAGTACTGAACAAGGTTATATGATTCATATCCCTGTACTGTTACAAACTTCTATTCTGTGCCTTTTTACCATATGAGTATTTTTTTTTTCAAACATTTCTCCAGTTCCTGACTAAACGATATGTAAAAAAGAATCAAAGATCTGTGAATACTGGAGATCTGAATCAAATAAAAACAGAAATTGTTGGAGGACATCAGTCAGTAGGTCTAACAGCACCTTTGGTGTGGAGAGAGAAAGCTTAGTTAACATTTTGGATCCAGTGACCCTTCTTCAGAACCCTTTAAATGATGTGGCCCTTTGCCCAGGGTTTCCAATTACCGTGTGAGGGTGAGACTTTCACTTGGCTCTTTCAAGATACTTTATGCCAAGTGAGTGGGACAGAGCATGGAGAATTCACATTCCCTGGTCCCAGTCAGATCCAGTGTATCTGTGTCGAATGATATGATCAATGAACCATGGTGCACTGGCCTTCACATGGACAATTGGGAACTATGTAATCTTTAAAACTAGTTCGAGATTTCCCCTACACCCTTTTTCTTTGAGTCATGTGAAGGTCAATGTGGGTGGGGTCAGGCAAACCCAATCCCAATGGTAGAAAGATATCTAGAGAGTGGGCCACATGGTGAAGGCTTTCCCTAGAATTGTGCCTGAGGTAGACACCACAAACTCTGCATGATCAGTGTTGCAGGTCACTGATCGTACCAAGTCTCAAGGAATTTCAGTCACACAATGCCTGTCATGATGGTGGTAAAATAAAAATTGGCTGACTTTCTACTTTTGGGTCTAGAGTGGAAACTGAGGCAGGAAGCCATCCTCCTGGCTCCCTGCAGCTTGCATCTACGTTAGAGATGCTTCACTTGTGGCAACTGCAGGTGCTGAACCTGTCTGTCCAAAAATGTACAGGCAAATTCAAACACAGCAATAATGAAGAAAACTTTAAAACATGTTTCCTGTCATTAACAACACTGAATGCAAGAAATACTGGAGGAGCAGTGTTAAAAATTAAATTCCCAAAGGGAATATAATTGATTGCAGGAAAATAGCTATTTTGTCTTCAATTGACTTGGAGACAGCTGGTCCCTATCCAGTGCTCCAGGTGTTCATGGATAGTTGCACTTGACCTTTCAGCTGGGGTTCACACTAGTTCTCAATCATTTAGAAATTATTTAGACCTGAAAATAAAAGGTGGGCCTATTGTTTCTTTTTAACTAATGTACACACTGACATTCAATTATACTCTGAAAGTTATATTTAATTTAGAACTCCATGCCAGGGCAGCTTCTAGCCTAATTTTTCATTATCTTCACAGTCCTTCCCTTACTGTCCAGTATCCATGTGCCTATTTGAAAAGGAAGAAGTTTGTATGTCTTGACCCTTGTGTGTGAGCAAATTGAAATAATCAGCAGCAAGCTTTTGTGGTTTTAAATAAAAGGATTATTTATTCATGCATTCACCCTGAAAATCTAATGTTGCGTCATTCAGTCACATACTCACTAGGGCCACAAGGGCTCTAAGAAAACAGTAAAAAGATACCCAAAGCAATTGTTAAACCTTGGAAAACTTTAGTTGGAAAAAGAAAATTTTTGATCTTTGTAATATCATTATTAGACAGAGATTAGATAACATTCTGACAGCAGGTAAGTAAAATGAAAGACCAAGGGGTCAGAACATCCTAACTCACTTCAGGCTGATTATAGAACAATATTGGAACATTGCATTCAAACACCTGATCACTTTAAAAATGTGAGAGGAAGAATAGGTACAAAACTAAATAATTTAGCAAAAATTAGACTGACAATCATTGTGAGAAACATGCCATATTATTCTTTACAAGATTAAGCAATGTTGAGAAAATTGATCATATGTTATATTTTGTTGCAGTTCAATTCTTGCTAAAATTCTTAGAAAGGCTAAAGGCAGTTGTCAATATCTACATTTGGAATTATGTGATTGTCTTTTTGGCCAGAATAGGACAATAGAACTAATACAGTCAAACTATCAATCAGAACCTGATACTTCCTAAGTTAACTTTCATTGATGGTATTACTTTCTAAAATAAGATACTGTTATTGATAAATCTGCCATCTACAATTCTATTGTCTGTTACTTAATGAAAACACCATGCATTCTGTGTATAATTTATTATCTTTGAAAGTTGATACACTTGTAACCGAAATCCATTTTGTATAGCTGCATGCTTTTAGTTATCATGATTTATTAACTAAGGCTTCCTTTTCCACCTGGCAGCTGATCATACGATTATTACTAATGTACAGAAACTGCCATAGTAACCACAAGAGTTATTTCTTCATATTTAATCATATTTTTATCTTTTAAACACAGTTGACAGGCAAAGGTTATACTTTTCTTTGACAATGAATTGAACTTTTTGTGAGTCCTTAAATGATATGGAGATGGTTTTCCTGTCCACTTACAGCCAGTAGGAGCAGGAATAGAGGTGGGAGAAACAAGCATAGAACTCACTTACCACAGCCATCACTGAGTCTGTTGGTTGTGTGAGGTATTTGCACTGGTATTTTCAGGGGCTTTCTGAATTTGTTCCTGTCTATAGGGGCCCTGAAAATTAATTCCCGACCACCTGCCAACTCTCTCCTCCACAATTTTCTCCCCAAGGTTACATCGATCCCAGATTCTCAGTAGAAGACGTAACATTTTTGGTTGTCCCGCATCAATATTTTTAGTGCTACATGTCTTTTCCACACCAGAATGGTGTCCATATTGCAGCGTACACTTCCAAATGTGAGCCACACCAAATGTCATTGTGGATGAGTCATTAGCACAGATACTGAGGATGCATGTTCAATGTGTACAGCAATTAGTCAGTGTGTAACACAGATTTGATGCCAGCAGTGCCTTTTTTAAACTCGAAACTCCAGCTAATGCTTTTTCTTGACCTTCCAGAGCTTAATATGCTTTCAATAACATCTACTTTGAGGTTAGTTCCTGATTGATTTCTGCTTCTATATTGGTGAGTTGGGTAAAAGCATTTGTTGATTTTGAAACTTGCTGAAGTCTAATGGATTGGTGTAGCAAGGGACAAAAGAATGGTTTTGACCTCAAGAGTTCTGCTCACAGCACTTGTTCCAGTTGCACGTGGTGTAGTTTCCGCGCACTTTGTATCCCTATAGACCTGCAGTATTACAGGAACAATTAGCAGGGAATGGCAAAGCTGGTAGTGGGGGGACAGGTTTGAAGGGGGTGGTGGGAGGTGTGCGGTGGGGGCTGGGGAGATGTGCTCAAAGAAGGAGGAGGAGGAAAAGGACAGAGACCTAAGGATCATTGTTGGCAATGCACCTGCATCAATAAGGAAGTGTTCTCTGAAATCTGACCTCATTGCAGCCCAAACAATAGCCTCGGAGCAAAGCAAGGATCGGCAGCGTTAGCAAAGATGGTCTTGTTGCATGAGGGATGTCACTAAAACTCCATATGCAAAGACTGTCAAATACATTCCATTTATTTGTCATAGAGAAACAGGAGGATTGAGCACATGGAATTGTGTTTTTATTCATTCATAGTATACGAGCATACTGGCTGGGCCAGCATCTATTCCCCATCCCTACATCCCCCCTTGAGAAGGTCGTGGTGAGCTGTCTTCTTGAACCCCTGCAGTCCACATGCTGTAAGTAGAGCCATAATGCTGTTTGGGAAAGAATTCCAAGTTTTTGACCCAGTCACAATGAAGGAACAGCGATAAATTTCCAACTCAGGATGGTGAGTGGTTTGGAGGGGATTTTGCAGGTGATGGTGTTCCCATGTATCTGTTGCTCTCATCCTTCTAGATGGGAGTGGTCCTGTGTTTGAAAGGTGCTGTTTAAGGTATAGTGAATTTCTGCAGTGCATCTTGTAGATAGGACACTCTGCTGCTACTGAGCGACAGTGGTGGAGGGAGTGGACATTTGTGGGTGCAATGCCAATCAAGTGGGCTGGTTTGTCCCAGATAGTGCCAAACTTCTTGAGTGTTGTTGAAGCAGCACCCATCCAGGGAAGTGGGGAGTACTCCATCACACTCCTGACTTGTGGCTTGGAGATGATGGACAGGCTCTGGGGATTCAGAGGTGAATTACTCTGTATTTCCAGCCTCTGACATGTTCTTTTAGCCACTGTATTGAAATAGTGAGTCCAGTTGAATTTCTAGTCATAACCCTCAGGATAGTGACAGCAATGATAATACCTTTGAATGTCAAGGCACAGCATTTAGATAGTCTCTTAATAGTAATGGTCAGTGCCTGGCATTTGTTTGGCATAAATGTTACTTGCTCCTTTTCAGTCCAAGTCTGGATATTGTCCAGGTCTTGTTGCATTAGAACATGGACTGCTTCAGTATCAGAGAAGTCATGAATTCTATAGAGTTAGTTGCATGTGATTCACTGAATAGTGTATACTGGATGAAAGGGCATGGAAACCTTGGCAAGGGGACATGAGTGGCTAAGAGGTTGTTTGGGCTGCATACATTGGTACAGCAGACCTGGTGAGGACCTTCCGAACTTATCTGCCAACAGGTTCCTCATGCTGTCTACAGTTAATGGTTTATGATCCTTTAAGAACTTGGACTTACTTCATGATAATTGTAGAAGAATAGGCCAGGTCTTCTTTGCAACTGAGCCGGCCTGATAGAGATTGCTTGGTGTGAACTCATGATCCAAACCAGCTTTTACCTTTTAAAGGATCTCCTGAAAATCAGAAAGCCTATGAATAAGGCTGAGAATCCCAGAATCAGGAAAAAGACTCTCAAGTCAACCCAACTCTGTGAAAATCTGGCAAAAACCACCCATTCCCATGACAGAGTAAAGGACTCCTACAAGATTTAGCCTGGCAGTTTGGGCTGTCCAATTATCATTCTCTGTGAGAACATTTAGATTAATCTACCATGCAATTTATTTAACATAAATCCAAGAACCAAAAAGCTTGAAAAGGAATGTAACCACAAAAACTTCATATATACGAAAAATGTTTATTAAAAATAAATTGCAGAAGTGAACCTTTTACGCATTGTTCAATTCCTAAGAACTGTAAAAAAAAATAGACAAAATAGTTTATTTACAGGCAACACAAAACACTTTTTGAGCTATGAGTGTGTATTTAGCTCAAAACTTTCCACAACTTTAAGGACATCAAATTTTCAGTTGTAAACTTAGTCAAGTTATCACGGATCAGAATTATGCTGCTAACAAATGAAATAACTGAAGCCTGGGGAAATAGATTTAACTGTCATGCAGAAAACCAACGATGGTGAACGTCTCATTGTAAGACCTGGCTTGCATTGAAATCAATGTTCATCATCTGACTATTGGACAGATTGAGCCACGATTGTATTAAATGGCAGAGCAGGCTCGTGGGGCTACTCCTGCTCCTGGATCTTATGCTCTCAAAAATAGTACATTGCTCTGGAAATGGGTTTAACCATTGTACTGAACTAAATAGTTGCACAAGTATCAGTGCATTCAGGCCATCAAATAACAGATTCATGTGAGAAATAAACTCTTGACATTACCTGTATGTTCCATCCAGAAATGCAATGTCCAACATCACAACAAGGTATTTGGGAGATGGGTAGAGAAACTGGTCAAATAAACCACTTGATCCTCTCAATTTAAAGTTCAGTCCAGCAAGCAAGTTTACAATTTCAATTAATTTCCTTTAACATCATCAAATTACTTTACTACAAGACATTGATTTTCTATAAACTTATTGTTGAAAAACAGGATACAAATCTAAATAATTGCAAAAACACAATATATGTATTTTACAAAAGTATAAATTGCCTTGAGCAGATGTTTATTCATCTGTAATACTGTATCTTTTGAAACATTTCACTTTTGGAAAACAAAAGATGGAACACAAAGTGAAATGAAAATCTGCTCAAATATTCTCTTCATATAAAGTAATTTTGTTATAAAGAATCTTTCCTTTAAGAAATAATACACTGATCACTTTTTCGGTCTATTCCATGGTGATTGTGCAAACCATAACAAAGACTCTGAATATTCACATTCAACAGTAGTAAAAAGGCTGTGTTCTGATCTATATATATATTATACATAGCACAATCTTTTCTCATTTCCAGTTCAATGTTTATACATGTGTTTATTTGGAAGTATTTTACTTTGATTGCTACTCAATGGAAAGAGTGTATGTACCACCAAATGACCATTCCCTGGTTTTCCTGTTTATCCAATCCAATCCAACATTCCTTCATATGGCAGTAAGAATGTGTACTGCATACAGCATACTCATTTAATTATCTGTATCTTATTATCTGTGTTCAATATATTACATTTATTTGTGAAAATGCATTCAACACTCAGGTGCTATAAATAGGTGCCTATCTATACTTCCTCTCTCATTCTGTCTCTGCACACACACAAATGTATAACCGGAGAGCTATCCATTGAACAGAGATGAAATATGGCAATACAGGATTTATACATTCAGACAGTTTCATTGTCAATTAGGAACTCAGTCTTAAGTTACGACGTAACTTTCAATTGTGCAGTGTTTCGTTTAATTGTTGCCTTTCCTCAGCCTTGAATTGCTTGAAGTTTGATGGACAACTTGATGCAATGTCTTATTGTGAAGTGATGACCAACGTCAACGTAACAGTCAATTTTTGTCACTTTTTCAAAAGATCAATTCTGAAAGCCTTGTCTATTTCATATATTTTGTGTGACAGTTCATGTATTGTACAACCAAAGCTGAACTTACAAGAACAGAACAAACTGGTGTTAGTTTAACAGTTGGTATATTATTGACCATAAGTTACTCCACTGCCCTCATCTGAAATATAAAGATACCTAGTGTCAATCTTAATAATAGTTCTATTGTTTAGAACAAAGTTCATATTTTGACAATATTTTAGATAAAATATGCGGTAACTTTATTGAATTAAGGCTTAGGTGAATTTGCTACAAGTTGGCATCCTCTGAGTGTTGAAGTGAATTCTTAAACAGGCGGTGTGCTGTATCGAATTACAAGGTTGTAATCAGTTGGGAAGGTGCAGTAATTATCCTTGGTTTTCGCTTCTTCATTGGGGTAAGGAACTGTGTCAGTGTCGTCAGAATGGTAACCTGACTGGTAGCCGCTTGTCTGGTTGGAGCCATCTGATGACACAGACTCTTTACTTTTGCTGGGGATTAAAGCACTGTAGATAAAAAGAAGATATATTTTACCATTTAGATGCATCAATTAGAAATAGTGTGAATACAAAAAATACAGTTGAGGAAGTTTATTTTGGTGTGTAAGTAAGGTGCAATGTAATCATCCTTGCCTGGGCAAAGGTAGCTGAATGAATAGATGCTGTTTACACTACATGATCTATCCACAAAACTCCTTTGATGGGCACAAGGCCAAAGAGCCCTCCAACAAATCAGACACACCTGTCTCTGTACCCTTCCCCTTTCCATTTTACTTAAGGGCAACAGAAAGATTCCAAAGGAGATTCCTCGATTTGTGCAGGACACCGGTGTATAGCTCAGGCAGAGTACCTCAAATAGTATATGGTGCAAAACTTAAATTTTAACCAGACAAAAAGGTATCAAGCTAAAGATCCATTCTAAAAAATTTATGACAGAACCAAGGTCTAAGTAAAAAAAAAGCATCCAAAGGTATGACTGTTGAATAATTTCAAAACATGAGACACAACAGTTTTAAGAATATGTCTGGTGATTGCCTTCTTGTACAGCACTCAAGTCTAAAGGTGTGCTTTATGATCTTACACAAATGGCGCGGCATTTCAGACTTCATGGGACAGCATCAAGTCCATGGAAGAATGAAAAATAATGCCCAGATCAGAATTGCAAGCCTTTCCAAGCATAGGCCCAATGGAAAAATCAAGTATCAATTGGAGTCAGGGCCTGTGCACTGACCCTCCTTGTGTATAAAAACAGAACTTCAAATTCTAAATTGTTATTTTTGTTTATTACTTCTTCCTTTATCTGCTGCACCATACCTAACGCGGTAATGCTTCGTCCTGATAATTGTTTGTATGAGCTGTGAAAGAAGGAGATTCGCATCCATTTTATCTTGCATCCTTATCCCAAGAAGTAGGTATTGTTATATTTCAGTAAAGTAGAGATGAGCTTTTGTTTGCAGTATTTTAGAGTCAGCATGAAAGAATAACAATCTGTTAAACGAAACCCCCTTAGGGCATAACTCAAACTAATAGGACACAATAGTTACAATAGAATTTGCAAAAGGCATCTGAGAAGGTACCGCAGAGGAGGCTGCTAAATAAGAGTCCAGAGTGTTACAGGCAAGGTACTGGCATGGATAGAGGATTGGCTGACTGGCAGAAGCCAGAGAGTGGGGATAGAGACAACAAGGTGCAGAGCTGGATGAACACAGCAGGCCAAGCAGCATCACAGGAGCAAAAAGGCTGAGGGCTTTTTTTCAGGATGGCAACTGGTGACTAGTGATTTCCGTAAGGTTCCTGCTCTGATGAAGAGTCATCTAGACTCGAAACTTTAACTTGCTGTCTCCTCATTGATGATGCCTGACCCGTTGTGATTTCCAGCATTTTTTGTTTTCCACAGGGATCCATGTTGGGACCACGACTATACACGTTATACATTAACAATGTAGACGAAGGAACTGTGGGCATTGTTGCTACGTTTGCAGATGATACAAAAGATAGGTGGAGGGAAAGGTAGTGTTGAGGAGGCAGGAAGGATGTAGAAGGACTTGGACAGGCTAGGAGAGTGAGCAAAGAAGTGGCAGATGGAATACAATGTGGGAAAATGTAAGGTTACGCACTTTGGCAGGGAGAATAGAGATGTAGATTATTTTCCAAATGGGAAAAGGCTTTGGAAATCTGAAGCACAAAGGGACTTGGGAGTCCTAGTTCAGGATTCTCAGTTGGTAGTTAGGAAGGCAAATGCAATGCGAGCATTCATTTCAAGAGGTCTAGGATACAAGAACAGGGAAATACTGCCGATGTTGTATAAAACTTTGGTCAGGCTACATTTGGAATATTGTGAGAAGTTTTGGGTCCTGTATCTAAGGAAGGATATGCAGGCCTTGGAGTGAGTCCAAAGGAAGTTCGCAAGAATGATTCAGGGAATGAAAAGGTTATCATATGAGGAGCAGTTGAGGACTCTGGATCTGTATTTAATGGGAGTTTAGAAGGATGAGAGGATCTGATTGAAACTTTACAGAATATTGAGAAGCTTGGATAGAATGGATGTGGAGAAGATGTTTTCATTAGTAGGAGAAAGTAGCACTCAAGGGCACAGACTCAGAGTAAATGGACAACCCTACAGAACAGAGATGAGGAGGAATTCCTTCAGCCAGAGGTGGTGAATCTGTGGAACTCATTGCTGCAAAAGGCTGTGGAGGCCATCGAATTCATTTAAGACAGAGATAGATAGGTTCTTGATTGGTAAAGGGATCAAAGATTATATGCAGAAGGCAAAAGAATAGAGTTGAGAAACATATTAGTCATGAATGAATTGCCGAGAAGATGCAATGGGCCATATGGCCTAATTCTACTCCTATATCTTCTAGTTGTATGGTCATAATTTTTGAAATCCAGAGGGCCATTGATCCCAGATCTTATTTTGGGATTTAGGCTCCAAGGACATAAGCTTTTGATCCCAACAAGTATTGCGGATTCAGTGGGAGTTTCTACTTGGACTGTAAATGGTGAATGCCTATTCCAGTAATGGTGCATCAAGGGTGTCTATCACATAAAAGAGTTGAAAATCCAATGCAGGCGCCTCCAAATCCAACACAGCTTTAAAATATGAAACTGCCTTCTTACTTCAGGAATTCAAGCCTGGGTACCAGCCTGAACACCACCCCGCCTTCTCAATCCCCCAATCAGCTTCATTTCTACCATTGTCTGGTTTAACCAGATGTATGTCCACCAATTGCATACGCAGTGAAGGCCAGCAGGGTGCTGATGTTCAGAGTCCCCCCCATACCAAATCCCATCACTTCATTTTTTTGTAGATGTTTCTGAGAACAATAGCATTTCTGACCTCAACAGACCAATAAGATAATTCTGGCATGAACACTGAACCCTATGTACATAGGCTTAGTTTCCAACCTGTCCTGCACATTTTTAACTACTATACCAACAGTACAAGACCATAAGATATAGAAGCAGAATTAGGCCATTCTGCCCAATGAGTCTGCTCTGCCATTCGATCTTAGTTGATGTATTTCTCAACCCCTTTCTCCTGTGTTCTCCCCATAACCCTTGATCCCCTTACTAATCAAGAATCTATCTATCTCTGTCTTAAATACACTCAATGACTTGGCCTCTGTAGCCCTCTTGAGCAATGAGTTCCACAGAGTCACCAGCCTCAGGCTGAAGAAATTCCTCTTCATTTCAGTTCTAAAGGGTCGTCCCTTCATCCTGAGTCTGTGTACCCTGGGTCCAAGCATGTCAGTGCAGATACTGAAGAAAATTATTTTTCAGAAATTCCCACAACTATTTAGAACAATCAGGATTAAAGTTCAGATACCAGCCAAAGATTCTGGTTCCAATTCTTTTATTGAGCAAGTGGAATATAGGGACTAAAATTGTTCTTTGGCAATGGAACAAAGTTAGTGATATTCAATTAGCAGCCCGTTTTGCATTCCTTGGGGAAAGAGATCCATGTGTTGAAAGCTAGGCCATGATTGCTCAAAATAAATGGCTTTAGTAAAAGCTTGTCTGAGCTAAGAATTTCGAGGGTGGATACTAGGAGGATGCGTCCTCTTGTGGGGAAGACTAGAACTAAAACTTAGAGATACTAAAGATTTGGAAGTCTCCCTTTTATAGAGGGAGATGAAGTACATTATTTTCTCTCAGTGGCTTTATCATCTACAGAATTCTCTTCACCAGAAAATAGTGGAGTTTGGGGATCTAGAATTTTGGGATGCAAACAGGAAAGTGGGCTTCAGACAATCACCAGATCAACCATGACCTTATTGACAGGCTTGAAGATCTGAATGGCCAAATTGTTCTCTTATGTCCTATGTTCCTCATTGTCAAGGAAATTTGATCTGGCAATAAAACTGGAATTGTCCACCGATTTTGTAACAATTAGTTTGCGATAAAGTCTTGATGGTTCCTCTGAGAAACAGCAGAATGACACTGTACTGTTTTAACATGTTAGAATTCTAAAATCCATTTGTGTTTACCCTACAGAATGTGATATTGACTCCAAGCACAGTATATTCTAATCCCATTGGGAAGCCTATCAGATATTAAAGATTTTTGGCTCATTAGAAAGCAATTTCCTTAAAATGAAGCTAAAGCTGCCAAGATAAACCATATTTTTTTCAGTTTTACGCCATTATTCTGAACTCCAGAATTAGTAATGACTGGACGTTAATATCCTCCCACAGGGAAAAATTGTGAAGGAACAATGCAGCCAAACCACTGAAGGAAAGCAACCCTGGAATAAAAAATGTAGAACAGCTTTTGGTTAGGACTGGAGGTGTCTTTACAATTTCCAATGTTGTGGAGTGCGTTGTGGTTAGCAAAGTCCAACTACTTTTTTTCCTAAAACCTATGATCCTCAGTGAGTTTCACAGATATTTGCAGAACATTTTACATAAAATGGGGAAAAAAAAACTGTGTCACATATAATATAAAATTACATGCTCAGCCTGCCAAAACTTTGACTCAGATAGAGAGATAAGTATTTGTAATATTTCCTTGAATTATCAGGGGACATCTGCACGTGTTAAGATTGTATCATCAGTCAGTTCTCAAAACACCTTTGAAGCTAGAAGTTACTGTCAGTGATACTCTCAGACAGAAACTCACTCTGGAAAGGAAAATCTGACAAGGTGCCAAGCAAGCTGAAGATTTGCATTAACCTCTTGACAAAAATGATGCACGATTCCACAGAATAACATTTTCTTCAGAAGAAAATTGCTATAAATCACTATGGGTAGTGAAAGCTTACCTGAATGCCAAACTCTGACTCTGCCTTGTTTCCAGTGTTTGAAGTTCCTCTGATGCAAGTATCATGCCACTGTCAGTCTGGTTATCCTAGTAAAGTCAAGCAGTTGGTGAAGACAAATAAACTTTTAAGGAAGCATGGAATAAGAAAGTTGCAACCTTCTCACCAAATCTGCTCCTTCCATAGGCCCCACACAACATTCCTATCATGGATTCTATTTCCATCCTTTGATCTCCTGAGTGAAAGTTCTATATAAAATTCTTAGACTTCTTGATTTTTAGAATCAAAGAATATTCATACACACTGATATTTCCAGCATTAACTTCTAACTTGCTATCCCAAATATATCAACCCACTCCCCATTTCCACTTACTCATTCAAAATTCAAGACCTATTACATCCTCTTGAGTAGTTGTTCTTATCAATACATGTATTGCTGTCTCTACAGCCACCACTTCTTATGGGAATCATATCATGATTAATATGCCTCTCAAAGTTACTAACTGATTCAAAGCTGTCTTTTATAATGCAATACCCTGTAGAATATTTCCCTCAACTAATAACACTTTTGTTCTCATCAAGTGGCGGATCCTTATTTATTGCCCATCCCTATCTACCCTGAGAAGATGCTGATGGGCTTTTTCCTTGATCTAGTGCCATATTTGCGCTGACAATGCTCACTCAATAGTCTTAGCTTTGTTAATTTTGAGCCTATCCTCTTTATTTCTGTGTGCATAGCTCCAAATCAAAATGCTTGCAAATATTTGTATTATCCATGCATTATCTACATAATCAATTATTTATTTAATTTCATTACAAAATAAATTAGAAGAAAGATCTGTAATTTATACTTGGAAAATGAGAACCTAATTTTATGCATCTATATGTACCTCTTGCACAACAACAGTTGTTTGCTCTACTGGTATTTCATCAAACGTTTTAACGCTCTCAGGCCTGTTTCGCATTTTACTGCCATTCAAGTATCTAGAAAAAGGAACAAGATGGTTCATGGTACATGGTGTTTAAAAACACGTACTCTGAAATGCTAGAAAGAATTTACTATTCAACGGACATCGCAGTAGCAATGTCTCAATAGCAGATATGGGCACAATTCTTCCATACGTTAACTCATGCCCAAATCTGCAATTCAGCACTTCCAGAAAAGACTGCAACTCTCAAAGAGTGCATCTCAGGCTAGTACCTGTGATCTATGAACCAAAAGGCTCTATTTCCTAAGGTCCCTTGCTGTGCGCAATAGTGTCCTAAGGGTACACTGAAACATTGAATCATCTTGTAATCCTATGGGCTTCACAGATGAATAATTTTATAACAGTACATCTCATTGGCCAGGACTCTGGTCTCATCAACAATCCCTGACACCCACTCCCTCATAAAGTGTCCTTTATTTTGTTTCCTTTGAGTTGGTCATCCTGCTGGAAAACCCAAAAATGATTTCACCTATAGAGGGGCTTGATTCATGTGCGTACTGACACTGATGCAAGGAACACATGATTTGCCCTCATCAAACCGTCACCAGGCACACACTTCAAACTGCCCATTATCCCAAAAAGAGCTCACAATCCTGCTGGCATTCGCAAACAGTGGCCAGAACATAAGAAATAGGAGTAGGGATAGACTGTTTAATCACGTAATCCCAAACCTAACACAGACACTTTGTGCAGTCAAAAAAAGAAATAACATGTGCCCACTGAGCTGTATTCCAGCAGCAAAGAAAGGCTAAGGATTTTCAGCCTGTGAGATTTGAAAGTAACAGCATCAAGTATTACCTATTGTAATTGTCAACAGCTAATGTGTGATCCTGTAAGGAAACATCTTACTGACTATAAGCTACAAGCTAATTATTTTGTTACTTATTGTAATTTATAGTTCCTGTCTGATCAATTGGTGCATTGTTTTATTTCTGCTCCTTTAACACTTTGGATTTTATCAACTTTTGGAAAGTTTCCATAATTTTTTCCATTTATTGTCCAGTGTTACATCCCATAACTGTTATGTTTAATCCACTGAGCTGACTGAAAAAAATCAAATGAAATGGCTCAGCACTGTTTCCTCTCATTTTCCTTCTGTTCGCAAACACATGAAGACTGCCTTCAGGAATGATAGGATGTCCATCAGGTAATTACCGTATTCCTGCTGTGTTGTCATAGTGGAATTTTGGATCACACCCTTCCTGTTCTTCCATACAGGAAGCAGGTGAAGTTGGCAGAGAAAGCCGGGAATCATCTTCTATAGTCAGCGACATGTTCAGCGGAATATAATCCTTCCCATCCTAAAAGTTGTAGGATAGGCATTCATATGCTTTTTGTAGACATTGTTTGCAGAACAAAAGCACAGAATCAAAAACAATGTACATTTACGACTGCTATATAAGGGCTCACACATTTAATGCAGAGATGAGGAAGAATTTCTTTGCTGAGGGGGTTGCGAATTGGGAACTTTTTTATGCTGTAGGACTTCAGGGATGGATCATTAAATATATTCAAGGCTGAGATAAACAGACTTTTACTCTGTAAGGGACTGAAGGGTTAGGGTTAAAAGGCAGGAATGTGGATTTGAGGATTATTAGATTAGCCATTTCTTATTGAATGATGGAGAAGATTTCATGGGCTGAATGGCCTACTTCAGTTCCAATATCTTATGGTCTTATTGTCTGCTTGCTACTTTAAACCTGTATTAAGAGTTGAATAAGCCACATTCCCATGTTGATTTTGATTTCCACATGAGCTAATATCTAGGTAATGTATTTACTAATAAATCAGATTTTTGCAAGATTTGAGAATTATACAGAATTTATTTTTGGTACAACGATTGCAATTAATGGTTAAAGTATCATTCAAGTATAAAAGGTAAAATGTAGTATTATTAAGAACATTCACACAAAGAGAACTTTATAAACTAAGTAATTTTATAATTTAGTTTACATGTTACAGTTTTGGTGTAGGTTAGGAGATTGCATTTCTTTCAAATAAAATACAAATATCCAAAAAAGACACAATGTTCTCTGGGCAGAGTACAGCAATGTCCATTACCAAAAGAGACTCGGCAGCTCATTACTGACTCTAAACTGGGTTTGCAGCAGTTGGTGAGGGAACTAAGAGGAACAAACATATTAAACCTCTTCGGTGGATTGGTGGTGGAGGCAGTGAATGCTGAAGGTGGTGGAATGGGCTGCCAATCACATTGGCTGTTTCTCCTTGGATGGTTTTGAGCTTTTTGAGTGTTATTGGAGCCACACTCAGCCAGCAAACTGGAGAGGCTTCCATCATACTCGCAACTTGTAGATGGTGCAGAGACTTCGGGAGAGAGGAGGTGAGTTACATATCACAAAATTTCCAGAACTTAAGTAAGTCTGCTGGAGCAGGCAAGATGACAGGCAGCCAGGTAATCATTTGGAACGCCGTATGCCTGATCTCGGAAATGGCAAAACTGATCCTTATTAAAAAGAGGCAGAAATCTCCTGGTCAGTGGTGGGAAGGCAATTAGGTTCATTAACAAGCTATTTAAAACTAATTATCCCTGAGTCCATTAGGAATTAATGGGGCCTCAGGGATTTAACAGGATATACGTAGGTTCTCACATGCCTACGGAGAGTCACCCACGTTTGCCAATGGTTTACCAGGACGAACTGTTGTTCTTAGAGAAAATCAACTAAAATTATTTCGCAACACACATACATTTTACAAATAAATGCTTACCTGTTGAGCATTTGCCTGCAGTAAATTTCCGAGGTGCTCCACTAGTTCAGAAAAGACTGGTCTTGCTTTATAGTCCCCATGCCAACAGTCCAGCATTGTCTGATAGCTGATGGGACAGAACAATCAGGATATTCAAATTTATTTAGATACCACTTAAAGTAAGTTAATCAAAGGGACCTGTTTGTGCTATACATTTAGTCTTGTAATGCCCTTGAATGTATTGTCACACGTTAATCTGTCACAGAACTTCCATGTTTGAATCCCTCCAATCAGGTTTCTGCTGTCATCACTGTCCCTAAACAAGAATCAAATAGTATCCTACATGATGTGACAAAAGTAAATATTTCTTTCTCATTGTCCTCAACCTCTCCGCAGCCTTTGATGTGGATGACCAAACCGTCCTCCTCTCTTGCTAACAGCTCTCCATTGTTACCCAGCTGTGTGGGACTCCGCTTATCTGGCTATAGTGTGTTTTTTCTAATGACAGTCATAAAATAACTCGCAATGGTTTTTTTCCCTATCCCTGAAGGATCTACCGTCTAATTATTCATCTACATAGTATCCCAGCAAAATTCTCCAAAGCCATGCCATCTTCCACTTCTCAAAAGCAAATCAGAAAGTGAAATGAAACTGCAGTGCAATAGGCAAAGAGAAAGGAGAGTGGGACTAACTGGATAGCCAACGCATGCAAGATGGACCACAAGACTCTTTGTCAAAGAGTCAGAGACCTCTACAGAATAGAAAAAGATCATTTGGCCCATCAAATCTATTCACGTCAAAAACAAGCTAATCTATTGTCTACAATACAATTCTACAAATTTAGCTTAATCTTTGGAGAATAAACATCATTGAATGTATTTTACGTATGTACTGTAATACAGAATTGTGTGATTGTATGAACTTTGTCCAAGAGGACAACACAGATCAGTCAAGAGAGAATCTAGAGAAGAAAACTGGAATGGAAATACTATGAGTTACATTTCTGCAGACGCATATTCAGGACATCGCATTCGTGTGCCATCTTTGAGTCTTTGACAGAATTCTTCGTCAATCTGAACACCAGGATATGGAGAGGCACCTAGGAGTTGAGTAAGGTGGCACATTAATTTCACTGAGGAATTAGCACTCTTTTTAAAACTTTTCCCAAAAACATTTTTCTGAAGAATTGGATGCACTCACCCAATGAAAAGATTTCCCAAAGTAGAACCCCAAATGACCACACATCACTCTGTGTCGTATAAACTTTATCAAAGATGGTCTCTGGGGCCATCCATTTAAGAGGTAGTCGTGCCTAGAAAAGAACATATTACTGGTTTAAATAAATATTCTCACCTAAATATTTGAAATGTGACTTTAGGTCATGTTATTTTACATCCTAGAGAAGGGTAAGATATGCATCATTCATCAGTATGTCTGATAGAATTATAACTATCAATTGTGTCTTATTGAACTTTACGCAGAAGCTCCTCAGGAAAGGCTTCATTGAAAGGGGCTATTTTAAGAAATAACATTGTTGGTGGACAGGTCTTAGTGTAGAGAGAGGGCACATGAATGAATCAAGGGCACAACCCTCATGTACTTTGTTGAAAAACTAACATTTCATAAAATATCACTAATATTGGATTACTATATTACTAAGGTTGATTTAAATGAACAGATTACACAGCATTGGTCACTGCCACAAGTGGACTCAACAGAATATATTTTAGTTTTCAGTGCTCAGACATGCATTTAGTTTACCTTTGTTACATTCACATAGGACACCATTTGATCCTTAATAAAGGTTCTTTTGAGACTGTGGGATGCACAGAAAATTGATCACTCACTTATTTTATAACCAGTTCCACTTCCTCTCCTTTAATTTCAATTGAATTAAAATCAATCTGGTTTATAATATATGGGCAATCTGTTTCATAAATTACCATAATTTCTATAAATATATCTTTCAGCTTAAATTAATGAGCTTCAATATAACACAAATTCTATATTAGCAGAATTTAATTTTCATGTACTTACATCTCCTTTCCTAACATAATCTGGGTCTTTATAAACATCTCGAGCCAAACCAAAGTCACAGATCTTCACCACATTGTTCTCTGACAAGAGTATGTTGCGTGCTGCTAGATCCCTATGAATGCACTGAAAAGAGAACAGAAACTTATTCATCTTGCCATTTTTTTTCTGTTTATCACTCATTCACAGTGGCTTTCTCATGAGCCATGTGTGATCTCTTCATCATCCATACAGTCACTAAATTGGCAGCATACAGTGAGTGTTGTCAGATCTGAGAGCAATATTTACAAGAATGGCTGTCAGAAATCTTTTGTTTGCAAGAAAAGGAATTACTATTGCTTTTAAAATAAGTCAGAGCACTCGGTTATAGAGAACAATGTAGATCTTGATGTATTTTTTGCGTTGGGTATTTGAAAGTCAGCTTTCTTTTTCACCTTTCTCCTGATTTTTATTTCAATAGAAAGCAAATGTAAAACAAGCTGACAACTCGCTATCACTCAGTGCACCAAGACAACACCAACCCCAATTCATTTAAAAGAAGGCAGTATCATGGCTAGAGGTATTTATGAAAGGAAAACAAAGGTTTGTTATCCTGTGCTTTGTATATGAATTATGAGAATCATGTGTTTTTGAGATTAATAAAAACTGAGGACGTATCATGGTTTTTATTTATACCTTTCGTGATGCCAGGAACTCCATCCCCCTGGCTACCTGGAAACTGTAAGAGATAAGGTCCTCCATTGTCAACCAGTTCTTGTAAAGGTCATCTGTAACTATAAGAAACAAAAAAGTGTGAGTTGATTGAGCTGCACCAAAATGCTGTTTCAATTTTAAAGCACATTAATGTGTTTCCTTTTCTATACCAGTTGAAAAAAATCTACTTGACCTTATTTTCACCAATCTGCCTGTGCCATGCATCCATCCATGTCAGTACCGGTAGGAGTGCCCACCGCACAGACCTTGTAGGGACAAGTTCCATCTTCACAGTGAGCATACCCTCCATCATGTTGTGTGGCTCTATCACCATGCTAAATGGGATAAACATTGAACAGATCTAGCGACTCAAAACTGGTCATCCATGAGGGACTGTGGGACATTGGCAGCAGCAGCAGCATTTGGTTTAACTGCAATATGTAGCCTCATAATTCAGCATATCTCTCAATCAACCATTACCATCAAGTCCGGAGATTGACCCTGGTCTTACTGGAGAGTGTGGTAGGGCATGCCAGGAGCTGCACCACGCGTACCTAAAAATAAAGTGCTAATCTGGAAAAACTACAGAACTACTTGCGGGCCAAACAGCATGCAATTGATAAGGTTAAGCAACCCCATAAACAAAAAATTAGATCTAAGCTCAGCAGACCTGCCACATACAGCCGTGAATGGTGATGGACAATTAAACAACACACTGGAGGTGGAAGCTTGATAAATATCCCCATTCTGAATGAGGGGAAACCAACACATCAGTGCAAAAGGAAAGGCTGAAATATTTACATTCATCTTCAGTCAGAGGTGACAAGTTGACAATCTATCTTGACGTACTCCTGAAGTCCTTAGCATCAGAGATGCCAGTTTACTACCAACTTGCTTCACTCAACATGGTACCAAGAATGTCTGATGGTACTGGATAATGCAAAGGCTATGCGTCCTGACAACATCTGGCAATAGCACTGAAGACTTGAGCTTTAGAACTAGCTGTGGCCCTCACCAAGCTGTTCCAGTGCAGCTACAGCATTGGTGTCTGCTCGACAATATGGAAAATCTCCATGGTGCAACCTATGCATGAGGGGCAGGGAAAATCCAATGTGGTCAATTATTGCCCTGCCAGTCTACTGTTAATTTTTTGTAAAGTGATGAAAGGAAGTATCAATCTTCCTTCACTCCCTTCATCACAAATGTACAGTGTGTAATTTTTACAATATGCACTGCAGTAACTAACCCAAGGATCCTCCAGCAGCATCTTCCATACCTATGACTTCTACCATCTGGAAGGTCAAGGCACCCATTATAAGGGAACACCACCAACTGTAAGCTCCACTCCAAGTCACAGACTATCCCGACTTGGAACGACATCACTGTCCCTTCACTGTCATTGGGTCGATTCCTGAAGCTCTCTTCTTAACAGTGCACTAGATGTCACTGCAGCCCAAGGATAAGAAGGCAGCTCACCCCACCACCTCCCCACCCCCATCTTCACAATTAGGGATGGATAATATATGCTAGCCTTGCCAACACCACCCACAACCTATGAACAAATAAAAAAAACTTCAAATCATGTTTATCAATATCAATATTCAATTGTCAAGCTGCTATTTGCAAATGGATTCATCCACTACTTCAGTAAGAACACTTCAACACGAAATGTTTATTTTTTCATGCATAGGATTTCTTTGCTTCATCACAATTTCATAAATTAAACAAAGATGCCCCGAAGTAAATCTTTACCTTCCTCCTCTTCCACATCGCTCAGTGATTTTTCTTCTGCGAACCCAGAACTGGTGGAGCTCTCACTACTTGCAATGCTGTCTAAGCGCCGTTTAAACTCACTCTCCATTTCAGCATAATCATTTTCTTTTACCTGTCTTGACTTCAGTGCTTTGCTCTGTAATAAGAGAATAAAAATGCAAATTATGTGTGAAGAGAACATTTTATATGATATCTACAAAACTTATGTAATGCATACAAGAGTATGATAACCTACCAACTAGATGTCCGTTGAAATTAGTGGGCATTGAGCAGGTAAGATAAGCAATGCTAGACCCAAGAATCGGTTCTCAGCTTTCTATGTTGAAGTGGGGAATATTGAATATGCTGTGCTGTCTGTGATGAATTATCTGTCCCAGAATGTTTCACAAAGGATCATAATTGATTACAATTACTAAGCACTTGCAGAAATTGTTGCCAACTTTTATGCGGCGTTGCCACCATTGTTGTGTCTCTGTCATCTGGCCATCTTTTGATATGACTCAGTCACACAGGAATTCTGTTGGCAGATCTTTCATTGGACTGAAGACAATGGGATCATGAAAGGGCAATGAACAGAGGGTAGCCTGGAAACATAGTTCTTCTGTGTTCTGATTTCATTGTTTTCAATGGGGAAATGCCAACTTTATTGTTTTAAATAATACACAATTTGTTACAGTGACAAAAAGAATCTTATATTTCCATGCACTTTTTTAAACAAATTTGTCCATTTTTACTTACTGAATTATAGAATTACAATATTTTCTTAACAATTAAAACTTCCATTTATATAATACATTTAATGTTATATAAGGGGAGCTGATGGTGTAGTGGTAATATCACTGGACTAGTAAACCAGTGACCCAAGCCAATGGAAAGGTGATGACCTATTGGTATTATCACCAAACTATTAATCCAGATACCCAAGTAATTTTCTGGAGACCTGAGTTCGAATCCTGCCATGGCAGACGATAGAATTTGAATTTGATAAAACATCTGGAATGAAGAGTCAAATAATGACTATGGAACGATGTCAATTGTCAGAAAAAACCAATCTGGTTCACTCATGTTGTTTAGTGAAGGAAATCTGTTTTACCTGGTCTGGCTTACGTGTAACTTTAGGCCCACAACAATATGGTTGATTCCCATGAATGAATTAAAGAAAAGAGTATCTTGGGACAAGAGTTCAAATCCCATCATGGCAGATGGTGAAATTTGAATTCAATAAGAAAACTCTGGAATTTAAAGTCAGTCTAATGGCAACCATGTAACCATTGCCATAAAAACCCATCTGGTTCACTAGTGACTTTTAGGGAAGGAAACTTGCAAACTTTGCCAGAGCTAAATGTAACTCCAGACCCATAACAATATGGTTGACTCTTAATGGCCCTTTGAAATGGCCTTGAAAGTCAACCAGTTCAAAGTGAGCTAGGACTTTGCCAATGATGCCTACACCTCATGCAACACTTTAAAAGAAAATGGTCAAAGAGGTAGATTGTGAGGAGTGTCTTAAAACAAGAGAGAAAAGTGGAGAGGCAGACACGAAGCAAATTCCACAAACTTAGAGCTTAGGCATTGAATATCAATTATGCACTCAGGGGTAGACTAGTGTACAGAATTGAAGGAGTGCAGAAATCGCAGAGGATTGTAAGGCTGTAAGAGGTTACAGAGATAGGAGGAGTGAGGTGATTGAAAATTAGAACATGAGGATAGAATTTTAAATTCAAGGTCTAGCTCAAAAACAGAGTTAAAAATGAAAACATAGATTGATTGAGGACATCTATATATCCTTCCATAATTACTCCAAAAGACAGGATTGGTCGTCATAGTGAGACACGTTCTGAAAATGTGGCTAATGTATATTTGTTTTTGAACTCCAAATCATTATGTAGATCAGGAACAATAGAGACCCAATACTGTTCCTTTTCAAGCTCAACTGAAAATATTTCTCCAACCATAATCTCCTAACTGGCAACCACCACTTCCTTATCATTCAGAAAAATTTCTGTCCACCTTTGAGGTTTCTCAAAGTAACCATTACATGAGATTTGGAGCTTTCTCAAAGGTTTTCCAGCCTAGACATGATTGTTGGTCTGATGGACCTCCTTCTCTGCTGTATCATTCAATGATTCTATGAAATATAGGAATATAATGCACAAGACATTCTCATTTTCACTTGAGAAGTCATTTCTTCAAAATTCTAAGCAAGTTGGTAGAGCAGAATCCATTGCTTTTCAATCTGAGTTGACTGCCATTTAGTAATGCACTATCACACAGATAATGGTCAAATTTGTTCCGCTAGGCCAGCTCTATTATGCTATCGATTATTGATAGAGGATCTGACAGTTTGTTGTTTACAGCTTGCCAAATAATGCTCATGTTTAATTTTTTACCTCTGATTTCTCTTTCAAAAAGCAAATTGCCCAAAATTTTGCAACTTCTCACTTTCAATAGACATGTTCAGTCAGCCAATCTGAATTATTAGCTGGCAGCTTAGGGAACATGTAAATTTACCATCAGCAAATCACTGAATGATGTGGGCATTAGCAAGTTGGGAGAATTGTGTCCAATGACAAATGAGGTGATTCCCTCCATCAAGGGCAAATAGTCCTATTTTCCAACCAAGTGTGAACAGTGAAATGAAATTCTCGTAGCAAGGAACCTATTTGCATGGATTAGCATGTGTTAACATTCTCATTATTATATCATCTCCCCTCATTAATATGCAGTTTCCCATTCTGCTACCCACTGGATAGAAACTAGACAGTGACCATTCCCAACATGAAAGTCAGAGCAGTAACCTGGTGGTTCCAGCTCACTGCTTGCCTCTGCGGACCTCCATCAGTCACCAACATCTCAGAGCACTCTCCATGGGCAATGACCACATGCAACCACCAACCTCCACAGACCTGAACACATAATCCAGCCTGACACTTTGGTTGACTACATACTGAAAGTGTAAAGTAATATAAGAAACACCATCTTTGGGTAAGATTTTAAACTGAGGTCCTGTCAGGCATGAAAATTCAGAAAACAACATCAGTAAAAGCAGATGATCTGGTCACTATCTCACTCCTGCTTATGGGACTATGCTGTGAGTAGGTTGGCTGATGTGTTTCTTTACCTTACACCAGTGACTACAGTGTGAAGTAACTTATTGGCCATGAAGAATGTTTGGTCATTTTGAAGTTATGAAATTCAAAATGCAACTTCTTTCTTTCAATTAACCTAGAGTTGGGGTACCCCTGTGAGCACTGAATCTGCACCTCTTAGAAAACTGTAAAACACAGCACAAAAGTGTGTAATAAATAAAACAAAAGAACTACTGATGCTGGAAATCTAAAACAAAAACAGAAATTGCTGGTGAAATTCAAAAAACAAAATCGAGCAGCATGTGTGGGAGGAAAGCAGAGTTAACATTTCGAGTCCGGTGACTCTTCATCAGAATCCATGTAATTCAGACGAATATCGATTTACCTTGTAGGGGATATAATTGCTTCGCTTGCTTCTCAAGTAGTTTGATAGGTTCCCATACTTGCAAAACTCAACAATCACCATCAAAGGTCCTGAAGTTAGAACAACAGGGTTAACAATATTAACAGCTTGCCAAAAATGCACCATCACAATTAAAAAAAAATTCTCCTTCATCTTATTATTTCATTTTAAATACTGTTCATTGTTTACACAAATTATCAATGAAATTAATGCAATGGTTTCATCAATTCAATCCAAGGAATTTTTTTTGTCGTATTTCTGATTTATCTATTATTTATCACTGCAGTTAACAACCATTTAAATAAAAACAACTCATCAAACGTCAACTTTCCTGCTTTCTGAAAGTACCTCCCCAGCCCCACCCCTCCTCTCTATTTATTTCAGAGCTCCCTTCCCCCTCCTCTAATTCTGAAGAAGGGCCCTGACCCGAAACATCAACTTTCCTGCTCCTCTGATGCTGCCTGGCCTGCTGTGCTCCTCCAGCTCCACACTGTGTCGGCAGATACTATATTAGGTTACCGGGAGAGGGCACCAGTTCACCATGTTATTGCTAATGGTTTGGGATTCATAAAAGACTGGCAAAGAAATCCACCAATCAACGGAAAATCACCAAGCTGTTACTGGTTGGCACTGGCTATAATACCCAGCTCACATGTCCACTGTTACATATATCAGTGCCACTAAACGAATTGTAGCTTTTTACTGAGCACAATGTCAATTGTTCACTTGCAGCACTCTTGCCTCTAAGTGACAAGGCTCAAGAGCTTGGAAATGAAGGCTGACACTCCACCGCACTACCGTACAAATGCTGCAACATCAGATGTGCCTGCTCAGGTGGGTGTAAAAGATCCCACAGCATTGTTTGGTAGTACAGAACATTGAAACCAAGATTAAAGGCTTTGACTTTGGGTATCCTTTGAGCAATCCCATCCTATGTTTTGAAGAAAGAGCAGAGGAGTTAGGATAAGGTGGATATGTATCTCTCAATTAATGTTGCAAAAACAAATTACCTGGTTATTTTCACTTTGCTGTTTGCATTGCTGTATGCAAATTGGCAGTTGCATTTCTTAAATTTAACAGTGGTTATACGTCAAAAAATATTTTATTGACTGTAAAGTGCATGAGATATCTGGAAGTTATTAAAAATCTTATAATCTAAAGTTGAGCTGTCATGTGAAGTTTCCATCAGTTTCTTACAATGAATTTCTACGTGTTCAGTGTGGGTATAGTTTAAACTACAAATTCTGGGAAAGATAATAGCCTTTTTTTTAGATTTAATTAAAACTAGTAATATTTTAATCATGTGTATTTTTGACAGGTGTTTCTTTGGTATCAGTCCTAATGTTGGAGATTGGGCCACTCCCAACATACATGATGTAGCTTTCTAACTTCTAAGGTGGCCCAACTATTTAACTAGCATATGTCTTCTGCAAAGATGTTAACGCAGCTGAAGGGTACACAGTTCTAGACTTCCAATGGTTAGCCTCACACAAGTAAAGCACAATTTAAAAACAAATGGCTGTCAAAATTTGTTAGTGCAGTTCTGGTGGAAAGAGGACTCTTTCCAGGTCAGTGAAAATTGATACTACTGGAGCGCCTGGCATGAAGATAAATGTGTGTTCTCAAAGTACTTCACTTGTGAAAGAGGTGAAGAAGTTCAATGATTCATTAGAGTATGAAGGGAAGCCAACAATGTCCATTATTAAGGATGAGATTGCAGTGCACTTGAAAGTGCATGATAAAACAGGCAAAGTCAGCGCAGCTTTGTCAAGGGGAGGTCATGACTGACAAATTTGTTAGAATTCTTTGAGGAGGTAATGAGCACGTTAGACAAAGCAGAGCTAATGGACACGATCTATTTGGATTTCTAGAAGGCCTGTGACAAAGTACTGCACAGGAGGCTGCTAACTAAGAATACATGGTGCTAGGAGCAAAATACTGGAATGGATATAGGATTGGGTGACGAGCAGAAGGCAGAGAGTAGGGATAAAGGAGTTTTTCTCAGAGAGGCAACCAGTGACCAGTGAAGTTTCACAAAGGTCAGTGCTGGGACTAGTCATGTTATAGATTATCGAACTGGATGAAGGAATTGAGGACATTGTTGCTATTTTTGCAAATGACACCAAGACAGGTGGAGGGACAGGCAGTGTTGAGAAGATGGGAAAATGCTGAAGGAATTGAACAGGCTAGCAGAATAGGCAACGCAGTGGCAGGTGGAATATAATGTGGGAAAGTGTGAGGTTAAGCACTTTGGGAGGAAGAATAGAGGTGTGGATTAGTTTCTAAACAGGGAAAGTCTTCAGAATTCTGAAGCACAAATGGATTTGGGAGTCCTACTTCAGGATTCTCGTAAGTTTCATTTGGCAATTAGGAAGGCAAACGTAATGTTAGCATTCATTTTAAGAGGGCTAGAATACAAGAGTAGACATGTACCACTGAGGCTGTATAAGGCTCTGACCAGACTGCATTTGGAGTATTGTGAGCGGTTTTGGGCCTCGAATCTAAAGAAGGATGTATTGGACTTGGAAGGGGCCCAGAGGACTTCAGAAGAATGATCCCGAGGATGAAGTGCCTTGTATTTGAGGAGCTGTTGAGGACTCTGGTTCTGCACTCGATAGAGCATAGGAATGGGGTGGGGGGTTCTAATTGAAACTTACAAGACACTGAATGGACGTGGAGAAGATGTCTTCACTCGTATGGGAGACTAGGACACCCAATGGCACAGCCTCAAAGTGGAGAAATGACCCTTTAGAACTGAGATGAAGACAAATTGCCTCAACCAGATAGTAGTGAATCTGTAAAACTTACTGCTGCAGAGGGCTATGGAGATCAAATTATTGAATGCATTTAAGACAGAGATAAATAGGTTCTTGATTGGTAAGGGGGTCAAGGGTCACAGGGAGAAGGCAAGAGAATGGTGTTGAGAAACATATCAGCTGTGACTGAATAGCAGAGCAGACTCAATGGGCTGAATGGCCTATTTCTGCTTCTGTATCTTATGGTGAAATATTTAAAACCGTTGTCACACATAGGTGATTCACAAGCCATTAAGGGGTTAGTTGATAGCAATTGGCCTCCTAGTTTGTGGGTTCAAGTTCAACTTTAGGGCCTGAACACTTGCATCAAGAATGGCAATCCGGTAGGGTACTGTTGGAGATGTCATCTTTTGGATAAGATATCAAACTGAGATCCCATCTACCAGCTTGGGTAGATTGGAAAGGTTCCATGGCACAATAAGAAGAACAAATGTGTTTTCCTGGTGTCCTCCTGACCAATATTGATCACTCAATCAACCTTGCTGTTTGTAGGAGATTGTTATGCACATATTGACTTCTGTGTTTTCTAGATTACAGCTGTGGCAATGCTTAAAACTGCAAAGTGCTTTGATATGTCCAGTGATCTTGAAAAGCAGCTTTTGTTTGACTGTTCTCCCAGATAGATTCAAAGCATGTGGAGTTGATATCAATATTTCGGAGAACAATGGTGAAGTAGGGTCACATCACCTCACTTAACTATTTTGTTAAAATTCACGCTGAAACAATTATCTTCTTTATTTCAAAATAAACATAATTCAAGGTATCATAGAATCCCTACAGTGTGGAAGCAGGCCATTTGGCCCATCAAGTCCACACTGACCCACCGAAGAACATCCCACCCAGACCCCGACTCTATCCCTGTAACTCTGCATTTTTCCCATGGCTAATTCACCTAGCCAACACATCCCTGGACACTATGGGCAATTTTGCATGGCCAATCCACTTTAACTACACATCTTTGGAGTGTGGGAGAAAACCAGAGCACCCGGAGACCAACATAGACACGGGGAGAATGTGCAAACTCCACACAGACAGTCCCCGAGGCTGGAATCGAACCCAAGTGCTGTGAGGCACCACTGAGCCACCGTACCACCCACAAGGAGTACACAGCAATGGGCAAATTAGGTGAAACACAATTTGGAATTATTTTGGGAGTCATTTTTTAACTTTGCTGGAAGTGCAAAAGATGTACAGTAATTCATTCACTGCCTTGCAAGGATAAATTAATTGGTTAACATCATATTGGAGATGAATGAATGAAAATAAAAGTAGCTACCGCTATGAATTATCTGTATTGTATTCCACAGAAAAGGTCAGTAAAGAGCAGTAGGCCTGAACAAAACCAAAGGGAGGAGTTTGCAATGGACTCACCTCCTGCTTTTGTGCAGGCTCCGAGCAGGTTCACCACATTGAGGTGATGGCCAATATGAATAAGAATCTTCAGTTCGGACATCAATGCTCTTTGTTCGCTAGATGTTGCTCCTTCTGAAAATAGCAGTAAGATAAATAAGTATATTCCAACTGTTGCAAACAAAATAAATTCTGAGATTATGAATGAAAATAACTTTGAAAATTCATTTAATGTGCTGCAGTTCTGTCCAATAAATTTATAATCTGAATTGTACCACTGGATGATTAAATGTGCTCATACATCAATTGACATTAGGTTTTTTGCTAGAATTTTATTGATAAATAACAAAATGAATATGACTTCAGTTAGCACAGCCCTAACCCTAACCCTAGGTGAAGATTCAAGCCCATAGTACAGGAAATCACAATATTTAAAAATTTAAGCTAAGTAAAAAATCAGCATGAGACATTTTCTACCATCCCATGATTCTGATTCTTTTCTGTGATTGATTCACAATTAAACTATCCCATAAAATACTTGTATGAAGACAAATCTCAATTATCTGAACTGTTTTTGGGGAATCCTACTGGAACCAAATTTCCAATTCAGACAATTAACCTAAAAATACGCATGCTGCAAAAGTCTAAAGTTGCATCAAAGCTCACCCATACCTCCACTGAATCCCATTCTGAGTTCCCATGCAGTCAACATTTAAAATAGTCATCGGAGGGGAAAGTTTCTGGCAGCTTCTCAAAAAAATAGGAAAATGGGATCTGAAGTTTCTGAAAGGTACTATTGTGAAGGGAGAGGAGCATAATTTTGTAAGTATAAAATTTTGAGGATATACCTCCGAAGGCATTGCCAACTTGCATTATCCTAACTAATAATTTTCCCAACAGAATTTCAGCCATTGACCTGATTCTTTTGCTTTGATGAGTTTTAAGAATTCATACTCTTGATGCAGAGATTTACGCATTACCGTGTTACTTGGAGGTCAGCTGGAATCTTAACATTTCAGTGGGCAGAAAATCCTACAAAGTCTGGTGGGCTCCTCTCCCAATACCATGAACTTGATATTGCTGCACAAAGACCATGGATCGGTTTTAACAAGGTGCCACATATGCTGCCTTATGATTAGCATCTGCCCAGTAGAACAACCTCTTTGCCACAACCACATCACAACTCAGTAATAAATTGAAGAGCCACCAGTCAAACAAATTCACTGAGCATTGCCAGCATTGCCCCAGCATTTCAAGACATTTAGGCTGGTCTTGATGAGGTGAGTGGAAAGGGAATGTTGAACAAGGTAGCGCACAGGAGGGTAGATGCTCAGAAGAAAATCTGTCAGAATGTAAACTCTGATTGACACCACGGGCTCGGGAAAGAGTAAACTTTGATTGGCACCAGCCTATAGGGCTAAACCTGACAAATGACAGACTGGGCACAGATTTCTCCCACTGCCCTTCAAATCTGAATAGGGGACAGAGTAAAATGCCTGCATGAGGGCCTCAACTGGCTCTAAGTGGGTGACCCTTCTGATGCATGCTAATCTCATATAGGGCAGGGAGGGTGGATAGGCAGCTGGCACACTAGTGATGGCATGCCACTTTATTTCACATTCTCACCTGGCCTTTCTCAAATCAACGAGAATTATAATAAATAAATTGATTGTGCTTGGTTTGGAAAAACAGCCTTCAGAATTTGAGCAAACTTACACTGACAATTTTAGACAAAAGTCTTTCCAGCTTTCAGTTACCTTTCAACATCTTGACAGCAACAGTTCTGCAAGTAGAGGCTTTTCCAATATTAAATGCAGCTGCTTCAACCACTTTGCCAAAAGCTCCACAACCCAAAGGTTTGCCTGATTAAAGAAATAAAAGGACCTTTCAATCTTGAGAATTGTATGAACTAATAAATCAGCTGCTTTGAAAATTCTTGGCAAATCCCACACTATGGGGAATACAAATTGGACTTTTTCAGACAATGGTGTGCAACATTCAAGGGAATAGGTTTTACAGAAGAAAACTCAATAGTTCTCGTGTCATTAGTGAAGCTGCTGCTTACCAAGGAACAAGTCAATATTACTGTCAAAAATTGTTTACAAAAACATAATATATTTTCTATGCAAGCAAAATGGCTTTTTTCTGTACTGTAGATCTCTACAACTCTGACTATGACAATTGCAGGGGCATGTTCTTCACCAAAGAACAGATTTTTGTAGATTCTGTTGACCACTGTTGTTTCTTCCTCTGGAAATTTGATAAATAAGTAAACATGTACAGCACCATAATAACAGGCTTTATCCCAATCATTTGATTTATAACTCTCAGTCAAGAATGGTGAAATCCTTCACAGAACTTGCAGGCAAAAAGATGTAGACTTACTAACACAGAACAAAAAACATTTCAATACCACCAAATACAACAATTTATGGTCAATTGAGAGATTGTGTGTGCAGGTGAAGGAATATAGATGACCTTCATAAGGATTTAAATGTAGAATCTCACCTAATTTAAGTCTATCTCTAGGAAACTCCCATTTACTGGCATCATATGACAGTCTTTTACACTGCTCATCCGTAGATATTTCATCTGGGTCCATGATGATTGACAAGTAGCCAGCCTTCAGTTCTGCATCACTGGGCTGGAAAAGAGTGACAAGGCAAGTAACTTTAACAGTCAGCCTGTTTTCACAGAATGGTAATGCTCACTTTAGCGACTGTCAAGAAAGGACATAGAGCAGTCAATGATCCAGAATTAAATGTTGCCAAACAAACAAAAGCATCTAGGATACTGGCGAACTGAACATGCATGCCTAGCTTGCAATTACTTTAGATTTCATTGTAATACACAAGGGCCATCCTAAACATGCAGCATTGAGCTACAAGACTTTTTCTCACCCATGAATGGAAATTCTAATTAACACACATTAGACAATCCGTCTTTGAATCATGCAGCTGCATTAAGGAGAGGAAGAAAAAAATGCATGTGTTGTTTTAAACACAAAGGAAAGATCCACGTAAAAAGGCTACAGTCGGTTTTCATTTGTCAGTCAATGTATGTTCCCATGGGACAATAGTGGAATGTTTCATTACCCGTTTTACTGTCCGCAAGATGATTATTAGAAGCAACCAAAAGAACAAGGCAATCACACCAGTGCCAACTAGGATGATCAATTCAAGGTTTGCCTTATCTTCAAATCCTGATATAGAAGAAAAACATCCTTTCAGTTTTGTGGAGACACATGTGATCAGAGACAGGGAATTTGTAAAGCACTAGATACATGCATAGATAACGCTTTACATATATATCAAAACAGGTGGAAAACAGAGTGAGCAAGATGAGCTTCTAATATACAAATTACATTAAGTTAAAAAAATTAAGCTTCACAGTATACTTCAGCATTTACATGATTTACTGCTTTCAGAAATACGCATCATACTCTGTATTACAGAAAAGATCAATACGAATGTATTGCTGAAAAACAAGTTAAATTTTGTCAAATCTTTTCACCTTGTGCTCATTAGAAAATTTAGTAAGAATAACAAAGTAAAGTTAAAACAGCATATGCTATACAAGAGGAGACTGCTAAGTTTTGGCAAGTAGACACTAATCAGTAGAGGTACGGCCATAGAAAGCGCACCTAGTTAATGATCACTGACAATTGAGTGCCAAGCTTTGTTTAAACTTTATCCAGACAGGTTGACTCTGAATGATGATGATGCCCTAAGAAATGAACCAAGAGTAGTGGTCCTATTTTGTTGAGTTTTTTTCTATTCATTTGTGGGATGTGGGCGTCACTGGCTGGCCAACATTTCTTGCCCATCGCTAGTTGCCCATGAGAAGGTGGTGGCGAGCTGCCTTTTGAACCGCTGCAGTCCTCCTGCTGTGGGTTGACCCACAATGCTATTAGGGGGCGAATTCCAGAATTTTGACCAGTGACAGTGATGGGACGGCAATATATTTCGAAATCAGGACGGTGTGTGTTTTGGAGGGGAACTTGGAGGTGATGGTGCTCTCATACGTCCGATGCCCTTGTTCTTCTAGATGAAAGTGGTCATGGGTTTGGAAGGTGCTGTCTGAGGATTTTTGGTGAATTTCTGCAGTGCATCTTGTAGATAGTACACACTGCTGCTACTGAGCATCGGTGATGGAGGGAGTGAATGCTTATGAATGTAGTCTTCCATCATTGAGTAGGAGGATATTTGTGGAGCCTCCTCCTCCAGTGGGTTGTCTAATTGTCCACCACCATTCACAACTGGATGTGGCAGGAATGCAGAGCTTAGATCTGATCCATTGGTTATGGGATCGCTTAGCTCTGTCTATCACTTGCTGCTTTCGCTGTTTGGCGTGCAAGTAGTCCTGTTTGGTGGCTTCACCAGGTTGATACCTCATCTTCAGGTATACCTGGTGCTGCTCCTGGCACGTCCTCCAGCACTCTCCATTGAACCAGGGTTGATCCCCTGGCTTGATGGTAATGGTTGAGTGGGGGATATGCTGAGCCACAAGGTTATAGATTGTGTTGGAGTACAATTCTGCTGCTGTTGATGGCCCCCAGTGCCTCATGGATGCCCAGTCTCGAGTTGCTAGATCTGTGCGAAGTCTGTCCCATTTAGCACGGTGATAGTGCCATACAACACGATGGAGGTCGTTCTCAATATGAAGGCGGGACTTTGTCTCCACAAGGACTGTGCGATGGTTACTCTTACCGATACTGTCATGGACAGACGTAACTGCAGCTGGCAGATTAGGAAGGATGAGGTCAGGTTTGTTTTTCCCTCTTGTTGATTCCCTCACTACCTGTTGCAGGCCCAGTCTAGCAGCTATGGCCTTTAGGACCCGACCAGCTCGATCAGTAGTACTGCTGCCGAGCCACTCTTGGTGGTGAACATTGAAATCCCCCACCCAGAGTACATTTTGTGCCCTTGCCATCCTCAGTGCTTCCTCCAAGTGTTGTTCAACATTGAGGAGTACTGACTCATCAGCTGAGGGAGGACAGTATGTGGTAATCAGCAGGAGGTTTCCTTGTCCATGTTTAGCCTGAAGCCATAGAGACTTCATGGGGTCCGGAGTCAATGTTGAAGACTAGAGCAACACCATCCCAATTGTATGCCACTGTGCTGTCCCCTCTGCTGGGTCTGTCCTGCCAGTGGGACAGAACATATCCAGGGATGGTAATGGTGGTGTCTGGGACATTGTCTGTAAGGTATGATTCTGTCAGTATGACTATGTTAGGCTGTTGCTTAACTAATCTGTGAGACAGCTCTCCCAATTTTGGCACTGACCCCCAGATGTTAGTGAGGAGGACTTTGCATGGTCAATAGAGCTGTTTCTGCCATTGTCTTTTCTGGTGCCTAGGTCAATGCCAGGTGATCCATCCAGTTTCATTTCTTTGAGACTTTGTAGCGATTGGTACATCTGAGGGGCTTGCTAGGCCATTTCAGAGGGCAGTTGAGAGTCAACCACATTGCTGTGGGTCTGGAATCACATGTAGGCCAGGCCAGGCAGATGTCCTCCCCTGAAGGACATTAGTGAACCAGATGGGTTTTTCTGACAATCGGCAATGATTTCATGGTGGTCAGTACATTCTTAATTCCAGACATTTTTTTTTGAATTCCAATTCCACCATCTGCCGTAGTGGGAATCGAACCCAGGTCCCCAGAACATCAGCTGGGCTTCCTGGATTAATAGTCTACCAATATTACCACTAGGCCATTGCCTACCCCCAATTGTTGAGATGGACATAATATCTTTACACAGTCTTTCTGACCAGAAGAAAACAAGGCCCTGCAGATTCCAGTCCATACAAGTGGAAGCTGTCCACAACCATATGACTATAAGGCATTGGAGCAGAATTAGGCCATTCAGCCCATTATGTTTGCTCCATCATGGCTGATATGTTTCTCAATTCCATCCTCTTGCCTTCTCCCAGTAACTCCTGATCCCCTTACCAATCAAGAACTTATGAATCTCTGTCCTAAATACACTGAAATCCTTGGCCTCCATAGCCTTCTGCAGCAATGGTTTCCACAGATTAACCACCCTCTGAAGAAATTCCTCATCTCAGTTCTACAGGGTCATCCCTTCACTCTGTGCCCTTGGTCCTAGCCTCTCCTAATAGCAACAGAAACATCTTCACCATGTCTGCTCTATCCAGGCCTCTCAGTGTTCTGTAAGTTTCAATCAGATTTCCCTCTTCCTTCTAAATTCCATAGGGTACAGACACAGATCATTCTTGTAAACATCCTCTGGACCCCCTCCAACGCCACCACATGCTTCCTCAGATATGGGGCCCAAAACTGCTCACAATATTCCAAATGCAGTCAGACCAGAGCCTTATACAACCTCAGCAGTACATCTCTGCTCTTGTATTCTTGCTTTCTCAAAATGAATGCTAACATTGCATTTGCCTTCCTAACTGCTAAACGAAACTTAAGAGAATCCTCAACTAGGACTCCCAATTTCATTTGTGCTCAAGATTTCTGAACCCTTCCCCATTTAGAAAATAGTCTATGACAAAGATGGGCAGGTTAGGTAGACTGGCCATGCTAAATTGCCCATAGTGTCCTGGGATATACAGGCTAGGTGGATTAGCCATACGAAATGCAGGGTTACAGGGATAGGGTAAGGGGAGGGTCTGAGTGGGATGCTCTTTGGAGGGTCAGTGTGGACTCGATGGGCCGCTTCCACACTATAAGGATTCTATGATTCTATTATTCCTAACAAAGTGCACAACCTCACCCTTTCCCACATTGTATTCCATCAGCTACAACTTTGCCCACTCTCCCAGCCTGTCCAGGTCCTTCTGCCTTGACCCTGCCTCCGCAAAACTATCTGTCCCTCCAGCTATCTGTGTCATCCACAAACTAAGCAACAATGCCCTCAGTTCCTTTGTCCAGGTCATTAATGTATAACGTGAATAGTTGTGGTTCCAACACTAGCCCCTGCGGAACTCCGCTTAAAAATGGACTCAAAAATTTTACCAATAACCAAAGTCAGGCTAACTAGCCTAGTCTTCCCTATCTTCTGCCTCCCTCCCTTCTTAAACAGGTGTGTTACATTAGCCATTTTCCAGTCTTTTGGGACTACCCTGACTCCATCCAGTGATTCCTGGAATTGCCATCAATGCTTCCACAATCTCCTCACCCACCTCCTTCAGAACTCTGGGGTGTAGTTCATCTGCTCAGGGTGAATTATCACTTTTAGACCTTTCAGCTTCCCCAGCACCTTCTCCTTAGTGATGGCCATTACGCTCACCTCTGCCCCTGACTCTTGAAGTTCTGCTTTGCTGGTGGTGTCTTCCACTATGAAAACTGATGCAAAATTTTCGCATTCTGATAGAGGGTGATAGAAGAAGCCAGAGTTCAACCACTGGGCTGGTTTAATGGCACCCAATGTTCCCAGCACCCCTCACTGGCTAAAATGTCATGGAGGCTCCTGGTTATGGGATATTAACGGATTGGAAGAGAGATTTTCATCTGTCAGGGACTGAAGTCCAGTCGCAGTAATGGAAGCAGTGCTCATGTCAGGCAGACCCAAAAGAGAACATTGTAGGAGGTGGACACCAAGATAAAAAAAAAGGGATTTAGCTATGATCAGGATTGTTTGCCCCAGTTTTGAGAGAACAGAGGAGGTTAAACAAGAAAGTGTGATTTATGAGTGTGGGCATGTGGGTAGGAGGTGCCATTAATAGGAGATACCCCATACCTTCATGCCCATACCAGTTCATGCAACTATAGTTACCAGGCTTGATGTGGGACTACCACTGCCATGGATACAATAGCAACAGGAGCAGGATGAACCCTTAAGTGGCCATTACTTGACTAGTTAAGCTCTTCAAAAAGGATGATTGAATGAGTGGTATGACACTCCCCCTTGTCCCTGAGTGCACTTCAAATCAATGTAGATGATCAATGATAAGTAATAAAAACATAATTCACATTATAAGTCGATAAGCTAATTAATATAAATGAATGACTCACTGAATTATAATAAAAACAGGAAATGCTGGAATAACATAGCAAGTCTATCACCATCTGAAAAATGAAAAGACAGATTAATGTTTCATCAGAATGGATCTTTACCCAAATTATAATTCTTATATTTTCTGTCTCAGTGATGAAGGACTTGACACATATTTCCAGCAATTCTGCTTTCATTCAAGACTGCAATAATTTTCATTTCTTTAAATTCTGACTCACAAATTAACTCTGTATGTCTTCACACTTAGTCAGTGATGAAAATAATCAGACTGAGGTAGGAAATTCAGGGAGTAATTATTTAGCTGCAATGCATCATCGGATTCAGTTAACACTTTAACTGTTATACTGTCACCAATTAACTTAATTATTGTCAGAATTTGAGTTATCAATGAACATGGTTTTACAGTTTAGTTCATAGAAATGCAAAATTGTTGTTTTCTGTATGTGGCGCAAATTAAATAGTGGGGAAGTTGTGGTCTGGGTTCAAGTCCTACCTACTCCAAAAATATATTATAAAATCTCTGAACAAGTTGATTAAAAATGTCTACAACTAAAATAATGTTTGCTCCTTGTTTTGTATATATTAACAGTTTAGGTGTGGACATTATTATGACTGTGGTATGAATAATAAGGGCAAGGATTTAGATATAAAGGTTTTACTATTTTAAGAAGCAGTTTTAAAAATTAGTTAGTGTAAAAATACCCTTTATTTCCACACAGCAAAAGTAAGTACAGTCCAGCATTTTATAGCTAATAGAAAGTAACAATAGTGTGGTACTATCAAAGAAAATGTCAATCCATGTTTATTGATCATTTGTAGTACACTACCTATATTTGTTGGTAAATAGAGATAACAAGGTGTAGACCTGGATGAACACAGCAGGTCAAGCAGCATCAGAGGAGCAGGAAAGCTGACGTTTTGGGCCTAGACCCTTCTTCAGAAAATTAAATAAATTAAAATTAAATAAATAATTACAATTATTAGTAAATACGAGGTAACTTGTCCATGACAACCTTACATTATGAGCAAACAATAAGAAATACTGCCTGTTACTGAACAAATTATCACATTTCAGTTCAAAACTATCCAAGTGTTATTCTGTCTGAAAATCATCTTGGTTTTGTTTTGGCATCCTAACCTTTTACAGCAATCATCGCAGAAGTCTCCGCACAGCCCTGGATGTTACAAGCCTCACACTTGTACCTCCCTTCATCTTCCTTCTTTAATCTCTGGATGGTCAAGGTCCTGTTCAGCTCATTTAGAACAATGCCTGGCAGGACACAAACAGACACACCATGTTAGCTCAACCACTTCCTGCAGCAGTCACAATATCGCAATTCATGACATGAACAAAAATGAAAAGAAACAACGGATAATAAGGCGATTTAAAAAAAGTAATACTGCCAAACATTTTTTTCCTATAATGCTTGATATTTCTTGTATAATATTTAAAACTCCTATAAATCTGTGTTGACTTTCTTTGTATACTGTGAAGCAATGAGCAGTATTTATTACATTAAATCTACATGGGTTTTACTATTTTACTCTCTTATTCCCTCCCCTCCACTTCTGAGGATAATATTCAGTATGTCTGCACAATAATACCCATCTTCCAGTAATACCAATGGAATGTACATTCTTGTTTGCTAGGAGAGTGAGCTTGCTATTTGATTGCAGGAGCATTGGAAGAGCTGAGTTCCATCCTTACCTATGTCATGCGCTTTTATTTGCTGGGAACCAAATGGCTGATCAAAAACAGGCATTTTGAGATTTTCTTTATGTTTGTGAAGAATGTGAATTAATCAGGAATTCCTTAAAGGCACTGACAAAAGGAATGTGGAGCCGGCTTGAGGGGCTGAAAAGCCTACTCCTGCTCCTATGTTCCTAAGTAACCGAAACAGCATTGGGATAATTTGGACTTTAGATATAATTTTAAATGGATGCTAAATACCTCAATGAATGGAAATGAAAATCGGGAAGATGAATAACAAACATCTGGCACAGTTCCTCCTGTTTTAAGACCATGATCCAAAATCCAAATTACTCCCAAAAATTGCCATTGCACTTTATAAGGCTAGTTAAATAAATCTGAATGTTGGCACGGTTACTAAGGCATGCTTCAATATAAATGTTATTCTGGGCAATTTTAATCTCCCTACCTGACATTTCCAGAAGCTGCTTGTTATTTTTATACCATATTATATGTGGGCTCGGTGCCCCGACCACATCACATTTCATCTCTACAGACGAGCTCATATTCACTGTTTGGTCTGTCAGATTCTGAAGCACCAATGGAGTCTGTTGAGCTGTAATGAAGATCAGTAGAAATTTTACCTCAGTCAACATCTTTCTGAGGTTGTCAAACATTTTTAGAACTATGAATGGATAGCACAATATGAATAGAATTGAAAATTGAAAAGGGGCAACTTTTGCTTTCTTACATTAAACCTGAAATTTGTTTCTGTCCAATGATACTATTTACTATTAAATGGAAAATGCTGACAATGCCAATATTTATCATTCTCATAAGCAGAAGTATTCACCAATAAACAGTAGCAGAATGGTTAGATATGATGCAATATATTGATTCATGATACTTTGTTTTCTCACCTTCTACAGAAAGTGTCTTCATTATACAGTGTTTTTCACCAGTCTTTTTATTCTGCGCTTCACAAAGATAGACTCCTTGATCGTGAAGAGATACCTTGCCAAAGCTCAGTTCAATGGTGATGTTTTCAGTCTTCTGTTCAGAAACCATCCTCCAAGTCATCAGTTGTGCATCACGTTGGAGGTCTTCACATGGGAGGATGGCAAGGTTGCCATGGCAGTTTTGGAGAATTTTGGAGTGGACCTTGTACCATTTAAGGTTCTCATATGTAAATTTGTCTGCTTTGCACTGAAGAGTTACATTGTCCTTTTCAATGGGATGGTCAGTAGGCTGCAAATTAATTTCAAGTCCCTCTGAAAGATTAATAGTCTAATCAGTTGTTTCTTTTCTATGAAGCTACTATACAACACCAACCAAAACAGTGTCAAAGGTGCCAAAATTTGCAAAGTCTCTTCGAATTCTGGCAATCATTTCCTGTCTTTCTGAGGAAAGCACTAATAGTTTGTCTTTTAAAAGGCCCATATATAGTTAATGTTGATAAGTGTAAGGCACTTAAAATGTATCTTAATGTTCAACTATTAAACAGATTGTCATCTGAATTGTAAAATTATTTTCCCTTATTTAGAATCAGTCATTCATAAAATTTGTTTCTTTCAAATGAATTGCCCAACATTAAAAATGTTTAATTAGAACCATTCTGTTTGACCTGGTTAGTCTAGCCAAATACTGCAGCTGGCAGAGTAGTAAATATACAAAACTGTAGCCAAGGAATGTAAACATATTTTATATTCTGATCTTCAACTATTAAAAGGCACCCACATTTGATCTTTTTAATTAATGTTCAACAATTCTTAAGAAAATTAGCAAAATGAAAACCTGCTTCTCATTATTTGTATCAAGTTGCAAACATTATTCCTCAACATTTTATAAACACAACAGTCATAAACAGATCGTCTAATAATCTAAACAATACTGCATAAACAGACTGGATCACACATTTATCAGCTGAAGCATCAATGACAATTCATTAGTTTAAAAAAAACTTCAGTAAAATGTCATTGCCTCTTCAGCAAGAAGTGATTTCCGTAGTTTAATGAGGTTGCATGAAATTTCTTTGCAGGAAATAAAATTTCCCAAACAGTCCACACACTAATACTCGAAAATAATTAATTTGTTAGTCAGAATTTTGTAAGAAATGACTAACACTTGAATTTAATTAAAAGTTGTGAGTCAAAAATATTGTGCATGTGACTGTTACAAATAGTATCTATCTGCTTTGAAGAAGTCAGTCTTTAAACTTCAAGTTACTTAAGAGGATCATGATACCAGCATAGAAAGTGATATTTCATTAGATCAGTATGAGTTCCACATTGCTAATAATAAAGGACAATCAATATTTTCATCAAGCTGTCTCTAGTAATGTTAAAAATGCCTGCAGCTTGTCTATGTTGACCTAATGAGGCTAACAGACCAACATACTGCAATCCTGCCATGAGCCTCATTAGGCATATGCACTGCATCTGGATTGCATTCTAATTTGAGTGCAATTCCAATTTCCTGGCCACTGGTTTTGATGTAAGTGGATGAGTAGATTATAGCTATAAATTTTTGCTCACCTGCAACCTATTCCTATGTCCCAGACTATAATTGGAAAAGTGATGGACTCTCTTCAATCACCATCACATGTACAAGTCCACATAACTAACTTGAGGGAGATGAGATCAGGTGGTCCACAAGTCAATTTTTACCAAGCACATTTGTTTTGGAAGAGTTAATACATTTTAAAAACAATAGTTTGGCTTTAGTATTCTTCATTAGATAGAAAGCACAAAACAAGCTTATTTTTAAATTAATAAAAAGAAAATAGTTTCCAGTCTTGCTATCAAGACTAATCCATATCACTGGCAGCCACCTGCACCCCCACAATTTTCAAGATTGGAAATGTTGATCTTTTAGCATTTCAGTTCTTTTGTTTAAAACTTTAAAGTCAATTTTAGGGATTAACACTCCAATGCAGATTTTCAGGTGCAGTGATCAGTGGAACCTATGTAATCTTCTATCCATTAACTGTAATGAGTAAAAACGATAGAAGACCATTGCCCTACTATGACTGAAACTCTCAGGTCAGGACAGCTATTTCATAAAATCTGCTTTTTCATAAAATCTGCTTTTTCATTACTTGCCCTTATTAACATGAGCTTCACTGTATATAAATAATCCATTCACAATTTGGGCTTTCTGTTATAAAGTTATTTGCAACATAGAGCTTACTTAATGTATGAGAATTGTCTCAAATTCTAAACAATATCTTTTCCAGGAGCCATGGCAGCTGTACAGTATACCAATATGTCTGTTTATAATCATTTAGTTCTCAAATCTCGAAGTGCAAGTCTAAGCAGACCCTTTAGGCTCTCCGTACGGGCTTTCTTTTAATAAGATGTTGTAGCATTTACTTACTGGTTACATGAAAGAAGATAACCCTCTCATCTTGTCCGACTTTGTTAAAAGCCCGACATCTATACATAGCACAGACATTTGCTGCCTGAATCACAAGGGTGCTGACCACCTAGAAAGAACAATCAGAAAGTGGTGCCACATAAGAAATGGAAAAAGATGAGTTCAGCTATCAGTATTCATTCTGACCAACGGAGTGCACATAGAAAGAAACACTTATAAACAATGAATTAAAATATAAGACTCAAAACGTTACTACAGTCTTACAAATAATAATTAATTCTAGCTAAAGAATGGATTTCACTATTCAGCTTTTTAAGTCTGAATAAATGTCTGAGTAAATATTACCAGTTAGCTTATATATCTAATAACTTAATGGTATTTAAAATTGACTGTGTTAGTTTTGCTATATTTGTTAATGGTCGATTCACCTTGTGCTTTCCTTCAAGAAAAACGGTCCGAGGCTCTGTCCTCTCGATCTTGTTACTGCCGTCATTGTCTGCAACATTCCTCCAGATCTTCTTTTCATGCGACTCAGAGGGGTTTCTCAATTCTCTTTGAGAACTGTTCAAAATAAATTGACATCCGTGCATCGTCATCAAATCATACCTCCAAAATAATAAAGATGTATATGGTTCTAGCAATCTCCTTCCTCAGTGAGTCAACTTCATGCCTGAGGTTTGGAGTATGCATATCAGTGAAGTCCTCATCTGTATCCCGGCTCTGTACTTTTAACAGATTTGCTCGATAAGCGATGCTAGTTTTATAACTAGCTTCAATATCCCTGCAAGATAACCAGGTTTGCTTTCTTGTTAGCTGCGTCCTTCAGAGAAGTGGTCAGAATTGGAATTAACTATGATCCTCCCTCAGTTCAAACAGTTGAACAGTTGTCGGTGCTCACCCCGATCTCACCATTAAAAGATGTTACCCAATTGAACTAAGTTCTTAGAGAAATAGGAAATTTTTCATGTTGAACAAGTTAATAAAAGTGTACTTTTGCTAATATAATGACCAAGTATTTGAAAATATCTTCCTGAAATTGAATTAGTTAGAATGTTGACTTCAATATGATATTTATGAAGGTTGCCATTCCTGTGTAAATATATAAATATAACCATTCACAAAACAAATACTGCAGTCGTGTAAGTCAAAATGTAATGCATTATTGATCACTCACAAGTTTCATTATTTCAATGAAAATGAAAGCCATTTCTTCTTGCACTCTTTCCAAATAAAAAAAACAATTTCATTAAAGTCAATTAACCTTTAAAATATATAATGTAATTTATTTCTGTGTATGTATATAGAAATAACATATACAGAAATAAATTTCAAAATATTATTCAAACTCCTTCAAAGATTTCCAATTACGATGCATGTAGACGGATATAACTATTTTTGGAAGAATGGCTTTGATAAATAAAGTTTGTTGCCAGAGATAATTCAACTTCTGAGGAAGATAAGGAGACAGAGAAACCTCTACAGTCCTCAATAAGATTCTTGCGTCCGTGATTGAAAAAAGAAAACAATGGGGGTGGTAGAGGAAAGAGCAAGTGGAAGTTAGTAGCCAAACAAACAACAGGAAAGCAGATTGCCCAGGATTGTCATGCAGGAAGTCTACCGGACCTTCTGCTGAGCCAAGATAAGAGAAGCCTCTTGGGCTCAGTGTGGGAGGTTATAACTCATTGTGAATATCAATCAATATACTTCCTCTGGAATAAATGAATCTTATATAGACACAGAGAATCAGATCTTTTATGAGTTCAGTTGCCGCAGAGCACAAGTCTTTTTACAACTCTGCAGCTATTGAAAGACCGTGTCAAGTCTCGTGCAGTACGAAAGGGCTTGCAACATTTCATCCTGACCAATCTGCTGGCTGCAGATGCATCTGTCCATGACAGATAAGAGCGACCACCACACAGTCCTTGTGGAGACAAAGTCCCACCATCACATTGAGAATAATCTCCACCTTGTTGTCTGTCGCTATCACCGTGATAAATGGGACAGACTTTGAACAGATCTTGCAAGACAGTGCAGCTAGGAGGCACCAAGGGCCATCAACATAAGCAGAATTGTACTCTAGCACAATCTGTAACCTCACGGCCCAGCACATCCCACACTCAAACGTTACCATCAAACCAGGGGATCAACCCTGGTTTGATGGAGAATACAGGAGGCCATGCCAAGAGCAGCATCAGGTATACTTAAAAATGCGGTGTCAACCTGGTGAAGCTATCAGACAGGATTATTTATGTGTCAAACAGTATAAGCAGCAAGTGATAGAAAGAGCTAGGTAATCCCACAATCAACGGATCAGATCTAAACATTGCAGTCTTAACACATCCATTCATGAATGGTGGTGGTCAATTAAACAACTCACTGGAGGAAGAAGTTCCGGAAATATCCCCATCCTCAATGACAGAAGGTCCCAACACATCAGTGTAAAAGATAAGACTAAAGCATTCGCAGCAATCTTCGGTCAGATGTGCTGAGTCGATGAACCATCTCGGCCTCCTCCAGTGCTTCCCAGCATTACAGATACCAGTGTTCAGCCAATATCACTCCACGTGATTTCAAGAAATGGTTGGAGACACTGGGCACAGCAAAAGCTTGGGACCTGATAACATTCCGGCAATAGTTCTGAAGACTTGTGCTCTAGAACTTGCTGCTCCCCTAGCCAAGCTGTTCCAGTGCCATTACAATACTGGTATCTACCCGACAATGTGGAAAATTGCCCAAGTATGTCCTGTACACAAAAAGCAGGACAAATCCAACCTGGCCAATGACCGCCCCATCAGTCTACTCTTGATCATCAGTAAAGTGATGGAAGGTGTCATCAACAGTGCCATCAAGCAGTACCTGCTCAGAAATATCCTGCTCAGTGACGCCCAGTTTGGGTTCCACCAGGGCCACTCAGCTCCTGATCTCATTACAGCCTTGGTTCAAACATGGACAAAAGAATTCCAGAGCTGTGGTGATATCAAAGCTGCATTTGACCGAGTGTGGCATCAGAGAGCCCTAGCAAAACTGGAATCAATGGGTATCAGGGGGCAAATGCTCCAGTGGTTGGAGTCATACCTAACACATAGGAAGGTGGTTGTGGTTCTTGTCGGTTAATCATCTCAGCTCCAGGACATCTCTGCAGGAGTTCCTCAGGGTAGTGTCCTAGGCCCAACCATCTTCAGCTGCTTCATCAATGACCTTCCCTCCATCATAAGGTCAGAAGTGGGGATGTTTGCCGATGATTGCATTATGTTCAACACCATACGCAACTCCTCAGATACTGAAGCAGTCCATGTTCAAATGCAACATGATCTGGACAATATCCAGGCTTGGGTTGACAAGTGGCAAGTGACATTCATGTCACACAAATGCCAGGCTATGACCATCACCAATAAGAGACAATCTAATCACTGTCCCTTGACATTCAACAGTGTTACCATCACTGAACCCCCACTATCAACATCCTGGCAGTTACTATTGACCAGAAACTCAACTGGACTCACCACATAAATACAATGGCTACAAGAGCAGGTCAGAGGCTATGAATACTATGGCGAATAACTCACCTCCTAAACCCCCAAAGCCTGTCCACAATCCTCAAGGCATAAGTCAGGAGTGTGATGGAATACTCCCCATTTGCCTGGAAGAGATCAGCCCCAACAACACTCAAGAAGATTGACACCACTCAGGACAAAGCAGCCCACTTGATTGGCACTGCATCCACAAGCAGTCACTCCCTCCACTGATGCTTGCTAGCTGCAGTGTGTACCATGCACTATAAAAATTCCCAAGATCTTTAGACAGCACCTTCCAAACCCATGACCGCTTCCACTCGAAGGACAAGGGCAGCAGATACATGGGAATGCCCCCACCTTCAAGTTCCCCTCCAAGGCACTCACCATCCTGGCTTGGAAATAGATCACCATTCCTTCACTGTTTCTGCATCAAAAATCCTGGAATTCCTTCTGTGAGTGCATTGTGGATCTATCTACAGCAAGTGGACTGTAGCAGTTCAAGAAGGCAGCTCACCATCACCTTCTCAAGGGCAACCAGGGACAGGCAATAAATGCTGGCCCAACCAGCAATGCCCACCTCCTTTGAGTGAATAAAAAATATGAGACTTTATTTCATCAATAAGTCTATTGAACCTGTACCTTATTGAGTTTTCAATATCGCTGCTCATGTTGTATGTCTCACACTTTAATCTTCACTTTGGAAACTTTTTTTGTTTTACAAGAAATGTGTATAATGGTCATGGAAGTTGATAAATGGAAAATGAACGATATCCACCCACCAGTCTTGAAACACGCAACAAATCAAGAATCATGGTTTACATATTCATGTGTACAAATATGTATGTTTTTAATCTTAAAAACTGAATCTGATTTTTCATGACATTTTATTATTGGTTACTTACTGGTGGAGGAAGCTACAGTTCTCTACTGGCTGCCATTCCCAAATAATCTTGTCTGGAAGAGGAATGCCATAGACAGTGCAAATCAGAGTCTGTCTACTCCCATAGCTATAGAAGTCATTGTATGTAGCCACGGCTTTTTCATGAATCCTTGGGGGAACTGCAAAAAGTATTAAAATCATATCTTGAGAAATTACTTGATTTTGTGAATAAATATTCAACATGATGAATACAACGGGCTATTGGATGTGGTCCTGGAGAAGCAACACAAACATTCTGACTGCAAATTCCCCCACCGGAAATTAATAAGTTGAATTCAATTAATATTGAAATATTTGATCTAACACCAAAAGACAGCACTATTGCAAACTCTTAAATTGCTGTAAACACCCAAAATGTTCACTAATGTGTTTTGAGGAAAGGACCCTGCCATCTCTAACCACTTTGTACTCCACACGATTGCAATTTTACAAAATGCTGTTTATTTTTAATGCCCCCCCCAGCCAACTAGGTATAAGCCATAAATATGCTCTTGCCAGTGTTATTAGAAATAAAAATTCCTGAAATAGTTTAAGTTGACCCATTTGAAAAAGAGAACAAAAAAATGGCAGAATTTTTAATACATTCAAAAATCCTATCAAAATAAACCAGTGGGATGGAATGAGAAATTGATCAGCCACCTGTTACGCACATCATTCAATTTCCTTTTTGGGAGCTCAGTGGAATGGCAGAAGTAACAGACTGTGGAAAGGGAGGTCACACTGAGGTCTCAGTAAAAGTTGAAATCCATCAACAATAAGTTTTTGAATTTGTATTTTGGCAAATGAAAATATATACAGGAGATTTATATATCATATACATATTTATAGAGAGAGAGAGAAGTGAGTGATGCACAAAAAATAAAGAAGTAAGAAAGGAGTGGGTGAGGTCAAGATCCCAGGTCAGGCGAAACGGAGAAAACTAGAAAATAGAAGCAGGAGCAGACCATTCGGCCCTTCAAGCCTGCCCTGCCATTCAATATGATCATGGTTGATCAACTCAGTACCCCCGTACCCACTTGATCCCTATACCCTTTGATCCATTTAGCCCTAAGAATCAGGGCAGGACTTCCATACTTAATGGTGAGGTCCTGGGGAGTGTTGCTGAACAAAGAGACCTTGGAGTGCAGGTTCATAGTTCCGTGAAAGTAGAGTCGCAGGTAGACAGGAGGATGAAGAAGGCATTTGGTGTGCTTGCCTTTATTGGTCAGTGCATTGAGTATAGGAGTTGGGGCGTCATGTTGTGGCTGTACAGGACATTGGTTAGGCCACTTTTGGAATACTGCGTGCAATTCTGGTCTCCCTGCTATATGAAGGATGGCGTAAAACTTGAAAGGGTTCAGAAAAGATTTACAAGGATATTGCCAGGTTTGGAGGGTTTGAGCTATAGGGAGAGAGTGAATAGGCTGGGGCTATCTTCCCTGGGGCATCGGAGACTGAGGGGTGACCCTGTAGAGGTTTATAAAATTATGAGGGACATGGATAGGGTAGTAGGTAGTACGGGTGAGGGAGTTCAAAACTAGAGGGTATAGGTTGAAGGTGAGATGAGAAAGATTTAAAGGGGAGCTAAGGGGAAACTGTTTCATGCAGAGAGTGGTTTGTTTATGGAATGAGGTGCCACCGCAAGTGTACAATTACAACATTTAAAAGGCATCTGGATGGGTATATGAATAGGAAGGGTTTAAAGGGATATGGGCCAAATGCTGGCAAATGGGTCTAGATTAATTTAGGACATCTGGTCAGCATGGACAAGTTGGACCGAAGGGTCTGTTTCTGTGTTGTATACCTTTATGACTCTATGACTCTAAGAACTATATCTAAATCCTGTTGAAAAGACTCAATGTTTTGGCCTCAATCACCTTCTATGACAGATCCACAGGGTCAACACTCGCTGGTTGAAGAAATTTCTCCTCATTCCAATGGAATCAGCATCATTGAGAGGACAAAGTCAGAAATCACACGGCACCAGGTGTGACCTCACCTGACAAAGGGGCTTCGTTCCAAAAGCTTGTGATTTCAAATAAACCTGTCGGACTATAACCTGTTGTTTTGTGGCCTCTGACTTTGTCCACCCCAGTCCAAGAGCAGCACCTCCACATCATCACTGAGAGGTGTGAGCGATGTGAGGACACTGCGAAAGGCAATCAGATCTGTTGGGTTGTTTCCTGAGCAGACTGTCAAAGTCATCTGCAGAACACCAGAACTTTCCAACAAGACATCGCTTAGCTGGTGGTGAGAAGGGCACCACCCTGTGAGATCCTTCATGTATGCCCGGACTCTCTGCACACCGCCCGCTGCACTCAAAGCAGCTGTGGGGGTAGAGACTGTCACACATCTCCTTCTGGAATGGGCCTTTGCAAAGGAAGTCTGGAGAGAGATGCAGTGGTTTTTGTTGAGTTTTGTCCCGAGCAGCAATGTGACGCAGCACTCTGTGCTGTACGGTCTGTTCCCCGGGACGCACACCGACACAAACATCAACTGTGCCTGGAGGACCATGAATTCAGTAAAAGTACACTCCTTGGTCTGCCCAAAACTTGTTGCTCTTCGACAGGAAGGAGTTGACCTTGACCAAGTGTTGCAGGCTGGCACATTCCAAGGTCCAGGACTATGTGCTGAGGGACGCATTAAATCTTGGGGCAGCTGTTGCCAATGCGCAGTAGGAAAAGACAATAGTCTGAGGCCAAAGTACAAAGGAGGTCTGTTCAGGTATCAGGCCCACTTAGTGCATCAATATATGTAAATAATACGTTGCATCAGTAAAATGCCCTTGAGTTTATGGAACTGTTGGGAAAGTCAAATTCCAATGTTTTCTTGTTCTCTATATGCAAAGACTGCACAGAACCAAACTGCTCTAGTGACAATTTATGTATATATATTTATGAATAAAGTATATTTTTTAAATAAAAATTGAAGCAAGGGTCCATACTCTGTTAAGTTAAGGCATATCTGGGGAGCTTAGGGCCCAGATTTACATGTCCTGGTCCATAGTGCTAATGGAAACCCAAAGGCACGGGCATAGATCTCAATGGGTGCTTTGCATAATGGAAAAGAATGATGCAGGCAAAGACATCAGGATGCAGGACTGTGAAATATGAGAAGAAATTAACATAGAGAGAGGGTAGAGCAGGCTTATCAGCCTTGTAAATGAATAAAGCCGCAGGCCTGGACGAAACATATCACAATGTTGAAGGAGGAGATATCAGGAGCCCTGACAGTAATTTAGAAATCCTCTCCGGCCACAAGGAAAGTGCCACTATATTGGAGGACTACTAACGTCGTCCCATTATTAAAATAATTAGAAGAAGGATTAAAAAAAACTACAGGCCAGTCAGTCTGACCTCATGGTGGGAAAGTTATAGAAAGAATCATGAGGGACAGAATATATCAGCACTTGAAGAGACACAGATTAATCAGGGATGGTGAGCATAGATTTGTTAAAGGATTGTTGTGGGTGACAATTTTGATCAAATTTTTGGAGGATGTGACCAGGAGTGTTGATGTGAGTAATACATTTGATGTGGTCTACAGGGGCTTTTGCAAGGCTTTTGATAAGATCCCTCAAGGCAATCTGGTCAAGAAAGTATGAACTGATGCAATCCAAGACAAGTGGTAAGTTGGATCCAAAACTGACTGAGAGTCAGGATGCAGAGCATGATATAGGCATGTTTCTGCAACTGGACATCTGTTTCTGGTGGGGCTCAGTGCCGGGACCCTTGTTGTTTTTGGTGTACATTAATGATTTGGATTTAAACGTAGCACAAAGAATTTTGCAGATGTTGCAAAATTTGGTAGGGTGATAGATAGTGAGGAGAATAGCTATAAACTGTGGGAGGGCATCAACAGACTGCTTGGGTTCGCAGATGGAATTCAAGCTGGTAATGGAATTGCTAACAAGGCAAAGGATTACACTATGAATGATAAGATCCTGGAAAATACTGAAGGTCAGAGGGACCTTAGTGTGCATATCCACAGTTCCCTGAAGGTAGATGGGCAAGTAGATAACGTGGTGAAGAAGGCATACAAAATGCTTGCTTTATTAGCCGAGATATAGAATATAAGAACAAGGTGGTTATGTTGGAATGGTATACAATGCTGGTTAGGCCACAACTGGAACATTAAATGCAGTTCTGGTCACTATATTATCGGTCGGGTGTGACTGCACTAGAGGATGCAGAGGGTGTTGCCTAGCCTGGAGAATCTGAGCTACGAGAAGATTGGATAGGTTGGGGTTGTTTTCCTTGGAGCAGCAAAGGTTGAAAGGGATGTGATAAAAATGCATTGATTATGAGGTGCCTAGGTAAAGTGGTTAGGAAGACATATTTTCCAATAGTAGAGGGTGTCAGTAACCAGATAGAAGTCTAACAGGAGAGTTATGGGGGAATTGTTTCACTCAGAGGGTGGTAGGAGTCTGGAACTCAATGCCTGAAAGGGTAGTTGAGTCAGAAACTCTTGAAACGTTTCAGCACTATTTAGGTATTCACTTGCATTGTCATAGCCTCCAAGGATATAGGTACAGACCAGAGGCTGGGAAATGGGATTAGTCAGATCTTTGTCGACCAGTGTAGACATGATGGGCTGAATGGTCTCCTTCTGTGCTGTAAACAGCTGAGTCCATAAGCATACAACATTTAGCCAAGTCGCACAAGACAGTCTATGAGATTTACATGTGTTCAAAATACTTTTGGGACTTAGAGTTGCCTGTCACAGGAGACCAAGCCACTGCCTTTCCTGCACTACATCTGTGAAACTTATATTCTACATGAAAGCTTAGGGGGCAGCACAGTGCCAGGGACCCAGGTTCAATTCCAGCCTTGGGCAACTGTCCATGTGGAGTTTGCATGTTCTCCCCATGTCTGCATGGGTTTCCTCTGGGTGGTCTGGTTTCATCCCACAGTCCAAAGATGTGCAGGTTAGGTGGATTGGCCATGCTAAATTGCCTGTAGTGTTCAGGGAGGTGTAGATTAGGTGGGTTATAGGGGAATGGGTGTGGGTGGGATGCTCCAAGGTTCAGTGCAGACTTGTTGGGCTAACGGGCCTGTTTCCACACTGTAGGGATTCTATGTAACATGGAATATGAATAGTGTAGTCATGCCTTTATTCCATAATGAGTTGGTGTGGTGAAATTTCATTGACTTGAAATGAGTGTTAATGCATTTATGTACAGCATCAGAAACATCTCAGTAGATCTTGTCCATGCAAAGACTCTTTAACTCGAAGTCCTTTTCAAACCTGCAGAGCTCCTGGTCTTCCCTTCCTCCTATAACTTATTGTCTTTAAAAACTAAGTAAACAGTTGCATTCTGATTTACCTTATTGCTCCTCCTACCTTGGTGATGTCTTACACCAATGGTTTTGGTCCTTCACATGACATTATTCAGTTAAAAAAATGTCTATGACAAAATTTCTATTTCTTACCGTTTACTACAAGTTGGATTGTGTGACGCTGCTCTTCTCTCGTCATAGGATTTTTAAGTATAATTGTGTAGTTTCCAGCATCCTTCTCAGTCACATCACTGATAATCAATGTATACCCAACTTGCTTTATCTTGTAGTATGCTTGATCCTTACTAATTGACCTTCCATTCTTTATCCTATAAAACAAACCATCAGAAGCTCTTGTGAAGCACACTTCATTAAGCCCTTCTAAGCATTCATAGAAAACACTCAATGAAATGTATGCAGTGTTACAGCAAAACAATGTTGGCCATTAACTAAGGAATTGTTGTTTTAGTGCAAAATGCATTCGAATCAGGTTGCATGGTTTTACTCCTTTATTTTTATTAAAAATAACCTTTTTAAGACTTTTTCTGTGAAATAATTTACCATGAATAACTGAACAGACAATGGGATTACTTAAATTATCTAACAACGTGAAATAAAGCATATTTAAATGCATTCAGAAATTAGTGATCAAAAATCAGATTGAAAATCTGAAGTATTTGCAAAAACTTCTCATGATATTTTTGCACACATTATTGGTGTTCTGCATGAAACATATTGAAGTCTTAGAAACCAATATAGAAATTCACTCTGCAATTTTATGCACTCTATTTTAGCAGACAAACTGCTGAAACATACTGACTGTTGAATGTAAATGTGTCAATATTAATCATAAAACTGATGATTATGCATATATTTGCAATACTCTACTGCATATAATTGAAAATAATAAGGTATTTCTTACAAGTAACTCTTTGTTTATTTGTAACATTTATTTGGCAGTTACCATTTCATCTCTGGCTGGGGATAGGCTGTAACCTTCACCGGAATTTTGACATTCTTTTCTTTCAGCACTGCCTCAACTATCGACCCAGCTTTGTGATCTATGAAGATGAAGGGTCTGTCTGAAAGCACATAATGAAAACAAAGTCAGATCCTAAAAGCTTAGTGTTCTTATTGAAAACATGAGATTTGAAAATCTCTGAGCACCAGAAGAACTGGCACTGTTTGCATAAGGCAGCATTCTTCATTATATTTGTGTGAGCAAGTTGGGAAAATAAACCTTAATGTTCAACAATAGTGTGCAAAAGTTAGGCTTCCAGCACAACAGAAACTATCTGAAGAGTGCTGAGTCATCACAATAAGGGAGAGAGAGAGAGAGAGAGAGAGAGAGAGAGAGAGAGAGAGAGATAGATATATATATTCTGGAAGCCTCTCTTGGTGGCTGAAATGTACTTTTTTCTGTTTACATTAAAACAGCATTAGCTCATTCTCTTCATTACCCTACCTTCTCCAGTTTCATAGAGGGTGGGGGGGAATTGAGATACAGATTAGGATATTCCTGACTTTCCTGTAAATTTTGTCTCATTAATGTCCACTTAATGTATAAATACCATAGCTTCAAGAGCAGGGTCAGAGCCTAGGAATCTTACAGTGAACGATTCGGCTCTTGACTCCCTTAAGTCTGTCTAACATCTTCAAGGCACAAGTCAGGAGTGTGATGGAATACTCCACACTTGTCTAGATGACCAAAAACATTCAAGAAGATTGATACCACTCGGAACAAAGCAGTCTCCTTGACTGGCACCATATCCAGAAACACCCACTCCCTCCACCACCAATGCTTAGTAACTGCGGTGTGTATGATCTATAACATGCACTGCAGAAATTCACCAAAGATACTTAGACGACACCTTCCAAACCCATGACTACTTCCATCTAGAAGGATAAGGGCAGTAGATACATGGAAACACCCCCATCTGCAAGTTCCCCTCCAAGTGACTCACCATCCTGACTTGGAAATATATCACCATTCCTTCACTGTCACTGGGTCAAATTCCTGGAATTCTTTCCCTAAAGGCATGGTAGATCCACCACTGAGATGGCAGTAGTTCTTGAAGGCAGCTCACTACCACCTTCTCAAGCGCAACTAGGAATGGGCAATTTATGTTGGCCAAGCAGTGATGTCCATTTCCCATGAATTAATTTTAAAAAATAGTTTTGAGGTTTTGACATTTTCATTTATTTCCTTAGAGACAAAAAGCTGCAGATGCTGGAATCCAAGGTAGACAAACAGTAGGCTGGAAGAACACAGCAAGCCAGGCAGCATCTGGACGAATGGAGAAGTCAATGTTTCAGGTATTACATCTTCAGGACTAGATGTGGGGCTAGGGGGAGCTGCAGATAAAGATGGGGGGGGATAGCAGAATGGTAGTGATAGGTGGACATAGGTAGTAGGTATGAGTTGGTTGGTCAATGGGAGGGATGAATCCAGTTGGTGGCTGGAGAGGAGGGTCAGAAGGTGGAATGGAAGGGAGGAGGTGGGGCTAGAAAGGGAGCGGGGGATGGGTAGGAAGGTTATTTGAAATGGAAGAACTTAATGTTGAGTCCTCTGGGCTGTAGAGTGCTCAGGTGGAAGATAAGATATTGTTCTTCAAATTAGCGTTCTGATTCACAGCGACACTAGAGAAGGCCGAGGACGGACATGTCAGAGGGGGAGTTGAGGGGGGAAGAGTTGAAATGGGCGATGACTGGGTGGTTAGGCTGGCCGTTAAAGACCAGGTGACAATGCTCGGTGAAACAGTCACCTACTCTACATTTGATGTAGAGAAGACCACTTCGGGAGCACCATATGCAATAGACTAGGTTGGAAGAGATGCAGGTGAAGTTCTGTCTCACTGGAAGGACTGTTTAGGGCCCTGAATGGAGGTGAGGGAGATGATGTGTGGGCAGGTGTTGCATTTTTTATGGTTACAGGGGAAGGTACTGGACGGGTTGGAGTGGTTGGTGGGGAGTGTGGCACGGACTAAGGAGTGGAGAAGGGAGTGGTCCTTGCAGGAGGCAGAGAGGGATGGGGAGTGGAAGATGTTCCAGGTGGTGGGGTCTGATTGGAGTTGGCAGAAGTGTTTGAGGATGATACATTGGATGCAGAGGCTGGTTGGGTAGAAAGTGAGGACAAGGGAGACCCTATCTTCATTATGTTTGAAGGGGATGGTTAAGAGCTGTGGAGTGGGGGATGGAGGAAGCACAGTAGAGGGCTGTCTGGATGATTGAGGGAGGAAAAGCATGTTGCTTGAAAAAGGTGGACATCCGGGATGCTTGGGACTGGAACATCTCCTCATCAGTGCAGATGTGATTGAGACAGAGGAATTGGGAAAACGGGATGGAGTTTTTACAGAATACAGGGTGGGAGGAGGTATAGTCTAGTTAGCTATGGGAGTCTGTCTGTGGGTTTATAGTAAATGTCAGTCTGTAAACTATCGCCAGAAATGAAAATAGAGAGATCTAGAAATGGGAGGGAGGCATCTGAGATAGACCAAGTGAATTTGAGGGCAGGGTGGAAGTTGTTAGCGAAGTTGATGAACTGCTCTAGTTCATTTATTTCCTAACTGCTAAAGTTCATTCAGTAGAACTACTTTTTTAGTCCAATCAATGTGTACAACAACTGGATCTCAGCCTTCCCACTTCAAATTCTTCTTCTTGAGAAGATGTCCTTAATCCTGGCACCAGGCAGGAAACACAGCCTTAGTAACTCACTGCTGCATTGAAACAATACCTATTCTCACCCAGAACCTAATTGCTAAGGCCATGGGAAAGGAGCAGACACCTCTCAGGAGCCAATATGACCAATTACACTGAGGCAAATATGTTGGATCCCTTCCAGGGAGGGGAAAACCATGCCCAGTTTTTTTTATTCCAAAGTCCAAATCATGAATGCAAATTACGAACAGTAGAGGTCTTAGCATGATTCCTAATGGAACTCTACTGACCTTTTGCTACTCTGAATGATCCCAACTTCTGTTTTCTGTCTTGAAGCTATCTGTAATCCATTCTTCCACTTGTTCACCAACAACACATTCTCTGACTTATTTATTAGTCGATTATGATAAGAGACCTTACCACAGGCTTTTTGATATTCCAGATCAATTGCACTACTTTATTGCCATTGTTTCATACCTCTATTATCTCTTCAAAACATCCAGCAAAGTTGGAAAAGCAGGATATTCCCTTTTGAAGCCCATGTTTACTATTCATTATTATATTTCTCATTTCTAAATGTTCTTTGGGTTAAGTGGAGTCCTGTCAATGGTAGTAAATTATTTCATCCATTTGAACTTCATTGTGGGTATATTGCTCATTCACTTAAAATCAAACACAAATGAACAACAACAAAAAGAAAACTGTATTGCAAACAAACGATTGAGCAATGTAAAATCATTTATGGCTGCAGTGCAGTACCATCTTACTTCTAGATACACAAACAACAAACAGACACATTTCTCTCCTTGACAAAAGGCTGGGAGATAAGGATAGGAAAAGCTTCCAGGGAGACTGTTCCAAAGACATGAGTAGCAATAATTACAGGGAACAAAGAAATGGCAGAGGAGTTAAACAGATATTTGGCATCAGTCTGGAAGATACTTTGAACATCCCACTAACACTAAAGAATTAAGTCTCCTAACCATCACTACAGAAGTAGTATTAGACAAAGTAATGGGGCTAAAGGCAGATAAGACCCATAGGATCACATCCTAGGATTCTAAAAGAAGTAGCTATAGAGATTGTGCATTTGTTTTAATTTTCAAAAAACACTTGAATTCTGAGAAGTACCAGAGTTTTGGAAAATTATCAACGTGACACTCCTATTCAAAAAGGCAGGAAGGCAAAAAAAGGGTAACTATAGATCGATTAGCCTCGCATCTATTGTTGAAAAAAATGTTGGCAATCAGTGTTAAGGAAGCATAGCAACGCATTTGGAAAATCATAATCCAATCAAGTAGAGTCAGCCTGGCTTCATGAAAGGGAAATTGTGCCTGACTAATTTATTAGAGTTTTTGAGAAAGTCTCAACCAGAATGGATAGCGGGGAACCAGTAAATGTGCTGCATTTGGACTTCCAGAAGGCGTTTAATGAGGTACCTCACAAAAGTTAAATTATGGGCCCATGGTGCTGGAGGTAGTACATTGGCATGGTTAGACAATTAGCTAATGGGTAGGAAACAGTGGGTGGGGATAAAAGATTCTTTTCAGGTTGCTGACATGTGATAAGTGGGGTTCAGTGCTGGGACTGCAACTGTTTACAATATTTATTCATGACTTGGAGGAAACCCGCAAATGTACCGTAGCCAAATTTGCACATGACACAAAAATAAGTGGGAAGACAAGTTGTGAGAGGGATACAAACAGTTTACAGTTTATTGATAGTTAAGTAGGTGGGCAATAAGTTGGCAAATGGAGTATAATTTGGGAAATTATGAAGTTGTTCATTTTGGAAAGTAGAACAAAAAAACACTATTGTTTAAATGGAGGAAAGCTGCAACATAAAGGGATTTGGCTGTATTTGTGCATGAAACACAGAAAGCTAGCAGGTAAGCAGGAAGGCTAATGAAATGTTGGCCCTTATTTCAAGGGGGTTGGAATATAAGAATAGGGAAGTCTTACTGCAATTGTACAAAGTGACAGTGAGACCATCTGGAGTACTGTGAGCAGTTTTGGATCCCTTATCAAAGGAAAGATATCATTTCATTGGAGGCAGTTCAGAGGAGGTACATTAGAATGATGCCAGCATGGAAGGATTGTCTTACGAACAAAGGCTGAACAGTTTGGGATTGTACTCACTAAAATTTCAAAGAATGAGAAGTAATCTCATTGAAACAAATAGGATTCTTATGGATTTTGACAGGGTAAATGCTGAAAGAAATGTCTCCCTTCATGGGAGAGTCTAGGACCAGAGGGCATATTCTCAGAAACAAGGGGTGCCAATTTAAGATGAGGAATATTTCTTCTCTCAGAGGATTGTGAGTCTTTGGAACACCTTGTCACTGTGGGGGCACAGTCCTTGTGTATATTTACAGCTGAGATAGATAGATTCTTGTTGAGTAGGGGAATCAAGGGTTATGGGGAAAGGGCAGGGGGAAATGGATGTGACGAATGTCAGATCAGCCATGATCCTATTGAATGGCAGAGCAGGCTCAAGAGGCTGAACAACCTACTCCTGTTCCTATTCTTTATGATCTTATGGTCTGATTACTGCATATATTCTTTCAATCTCTGGTAACATTGCAGTGAAGGTACCACCTACTTGAGTTTTCTCTTTCCTTTCACAGTGTTGATCTTACTCAGTTGATCTGAGGGCAATATTCCATTAAATCAAAATTCCTTCCTACGACAGAAATCACCCGTTTAATTCTCCAATCTCCTTGTCCCTGCGTCAATTTCTATATTGCCCTTGGTAGCAATCCAGAAACTATCCTTGACATCAAGGTGCAGAGCTGGATGAACACAGCAGGCCAAGCAGCATCATAGGAGCAGAAAGGCTGACGTTTCGGGCCTATCCTTGACATTCTGCATTTTAATTTGGACCATAACTATTCAACCTCTCACAGCAAAGCATCATTCCTAGCTCAATCATGATCATTGGTTCTTAAGTGATCGTAACAACTGGATGTTCCGTCTCCCACACATAGTTAATCTCTTAGTGATAAGGAAGTGCCCTTAGCTCCGGCACTGGTCAGGCAACACAACCATTGGAACTCCCTCTCATAGTTTCAGAGTGCACTATCTATCTTTATGACTATACTGTCTCCTAACACTGTCATTGATTAGCATGGTGCCATAATCAGCTTGCTCATTCAGCCTGCAATCCTTGTCCTTATCAATAAAAATAGTAATTATCTTGTTGTTGTTCATCAAAGTCAAGAGCAGATGCTAAGGGGCATGAGGTCAGGCCTTTAGATTACTGGTCCAGTGACATAGCCACTGTGCTTCTAATCCCTATGACACTCAGAATGGCTAGTGAAGAAATTGGGAAAAGATTATTGTATGGCTGCATTATAAAGCAGTGTTTATATTTACTATTGGGTTCAGGTTGTGTGAGCTTTATATTGTATCTGTCTATGCTGTAATTAAGCTACTAATGCTTACGGATGTTAATGGAGTAACTGAACTTGGCAAGTATTTCATTCTCCATCATGAACACAAAATTACAAGGCATTTGCCATAAATCTTTGAACAAAAAATCTTAATCCACTTTATTTAAATTCAGTTGATAGACCCAGTCTATTTCTATCAACATGTGAACAAATTGGCTTCTGAAATGACAATTATATTTTTCACACTTTAGCTGACAAGTTGATTCGGTGTTGAGAATTATATCTGCCTTTCTCTTCTTTAAGATTGTTAATGATAGTTCTAAAATGTTTTACAGCATTCCCTCTTGATTTACTTTCATGGATTTCACAGCACATCAAACTGAAGATCTCACCATAGATGATGACATCAGTGCTGTTCTCCTTTGTCATCATTCCACTGGAGGCACTGCAAAAATATGTTCCTTCATCTCCTTTTGTCACATTGTCTATAATCAGAATGTTTGAGAGTTCCAGCCCTTTGGGTTGTTCTTGTTTCATTGTTTTGAAGACTAGGTGTGGATTCTGTTGAAATTAAGAAAAAAGATAGAAGCAATATAAAGCATCCAGCAAAATGTATTTCAAAACCTGCTGAATATATTCTGAAGTAAATTCCATTGTGGCTATGCAGGCCCCCTAAATAACAAAAATGCTGCTTATGTGACATACTAGAATTTAAACTGCATTAGTTACATTGCATTAGTAAAATGCTGAGAAATTTCTGCTTCATCAAAGATGCTTTGCGTTGAACGTTAAGTTGAAGGGCTATCTATTCATTATGTGGTCTGGTGTTAAAATGGTCTCAATAAAAAAATCAGGTATTTTGAATCAACCTGTTCAGACACATTATTACACACCTCTAGGGTTGGTGGGCTTTGCACACAGACTTTCTGACCCAGAGGAAAGGACACACTAGCATTGTGCCACAAGAGTCCTTTGATCTCCTGGTATCCTGGCCAATATCCCTCCCTCCATGAAAACAGGTTAACTGAATTGTTGTTTATGAAATTTATTTATGTGTACGCTGATATTGTATTCATAACAAGTGGTTATACTTCAGAAGTAATACAATGTATGAAGCATTCTTTTAGGGCCTGAGAACATACATCATGCTATTTGAATGCAAATTCTTTCTACATTGAGAATATAATACTGAGATCTGTCCATATGGGTTCTGTATATTGGAGTATATCAAAATTAATTGAATGAAATATTTATGATAGCAATGAGAATAATAAAAATTGCTAGCTGCAGACTCTCTGACTAACACCTTGAAATTGCAAGTAATATTCAAGGCAAGATTTTCTTTCGGAGGCTATTAGGTATAATGTTTATTGGAAAAGAGAGAATGTGGTTCAGGAAAATGACATGGGTCATTTGTACTGGTCAAACTCACCTTCAAGTTATTGATAGAAAAATTGTTACTAATATAGAAATGTCTGTGTGGTAACTCATATATTAACAGAAGGAGTAACTTTGGGTGATGATGTACAAGGTATTAAATTAGCCACCCATTATTCATGGTGTTCCAATGAGATAGACAGGATGAAAGTTTGGAAAGGTATATATGATCTATTTTACCCAATTACCCAAGTTACACTGACCCACAGGAAAACAGTGAATGGGAAAATTCATTCCATCACATTCTTTTTTGGCCCATGACCCTATTTCAATGGTTCTGTCTAATATCATCAGGAAATTTTCCTGAGGTAATCAAGTAAAAGCTTATGTTTATCATGATCAATGTGTCAAATTTTGATGGAACTGAAGACCATTGGTTCAACTTTCAATCGTATGTTCAGGCCTTAAAGAATTTTTCCAACAAGATTTTTGAAAGAGCAAGTACAGTAACAGCAACAGGGCATCAGGACGAGACAAATAGGGGTATCTCCATCAATAATGAAATTGAATGATTCAGAAATAATCAAATTCAAAGCCAAACTAAGTAGAGAAAGGAAATAAAGAAACAGCACAAGTTAGAATGAATGAAGTGTGAAGAAAAAGACAGAAAATGTTAGAGAAAAGTTAAAATGCAGTTTGATATTATTTTCAAACCTCGTAAAACAAATTATAACCTGAGGAAGTTGGATTTAACATTCATAATTGTTTACCTTCTGGATAAGTATTGTTAATTGGTAATCATTAACAGTGATCACATTGCTTAAAAGGATATTTATACTATTGAATACTTTGCAACAAGGTTAAAGAGCAGTCAAAGTTTAAATACACCAACTTTCTGAAAAGACTACAATGCTACATTAGCTCAAGCTATACCTACTCCTAAAACACAAATCAGTTCTCAAACATATTTTTCACCTCTAGTTGAAGGAGTTAATCAATACAGCTGCAATTAATTTTGCTGGAGGTTTGTTTCATTTTTCCAATAAAAATTCAAGGACATTCTATAACTAAAATGTATTGTCATTCTAATTTTCCCACAACAATGTAACCTAAAGAGTTTTGGAAATTTCCACCACTAAGTGTGCAACACAAGAAGTATTCACAAATACATTAACAATCTTATTTCATTTGAGATTTGCATATAATTTGCTTTTTACAATATTTTGTTTCACGCCTACACCTAGACATACCTCCAATTAATACAGAAATATTGTGTACATTTGTCTACCAAGAACTTACTACCTCCAACCCAAATTACTTGTCTTCACACCCCTTTCCTATTGAAGCATGAAGTATTAAAGACAGAATTCAAACTTTTTCTCTTCCCTATGGATTTGTTCTATGGTGATGTTTAGATTTTTTTTCCTTAACTAAGCAAAGCTTCAAGACTTTCATTTGTTATACCTTCAATCCAGGATACTTCCAATTAAAGATCAGCCGAACATTGAGTTCAGTTTTGGCACTACAGTTGAGTATCAAACGTTCCCCCACTGCTAACTCCACTTGTGACCGAGGGTTTAGTGTAAGCTCCTGAATCTTGGTTCCTGCAGGGTGGATACATTACACAATTATTCATATACAATGGCACAAATATAGCAGAAATCAGTTCTCAGCCTTGAGACGTTGTTGCAAGGTGAAGATGATACTACAAATTGTACAAATGTTTTACCTTTGTGCACTCTGTGCAAATAAGAATACGTCTGTTTATAAAAAGCTCATTTACAATTGCACTGCACAAATGTGTGGAGGAAATTTCCCTGTATTGGCAAATACCATTTAAATCCCTTACCATGTCAGTGTATTCAACATAGATCTAAAATTCAGTATTTTTTGCGACACAAAAATTGCATGAAATGAGTGTTTTTTTTAAATTTCCTTTGTTAACTGTGCTTAGAATGTATCTGCATTTGTGCTTTTGTATGTCATTGCATTGCAAGGCATTTAATTCAGGTGCTGCATTTTGGAAAGAAAAATCAGGGCAGGACTTATATGCTTAATGGTAAGATCCTGGGGAGTGTTGCTGAACAAAGGGACCTTGGAGTGCAGGTTCATAGTTCCTTGAAAGTAGAGTCGCAAGTATGCAGGATAGTGAAGAAGGCAGTTGGGATGCTTGCCTTTATTGGGTAGTGCATTGAGAATAGGATTAGGGAGGTCATGTTGCAGCTGTACAGGACATTAGTTAGGCCAGTTTTGGAATACTGTGTACAATTCTGGTCACCCTGCTATAGGAAGGATGTTGTGAAACTTGAAAGGGTTCAGAAAATATTAACAAGGATGTTGGCAGGGTTGGAGGGTTTGAGCTATAGGGAGAGACTGAATAAGCTGGGGCTATTTTCCCTGGAGTGTTAAAGGCTGAGGGATGACCTTATAGAGGTTTATAAAATCATGAGGGGCATGGATTGGGTAAATAGACAAGGTCTTTTCCCTGGGGTGGGGGAGTCCAAAACTAGAGGGCATAGTTTAAGGTGGGAGGGGAAAGGTTTAAAAGGGACCTAAGGGGCAACTTTTTCATGCAGAGGGTGGTGCATGTATGGAGTGAGCTGTCAGAGGAGATGGTGGAGGCTAGTACAACATTTAAAAGGCATCTGGACAGGTACATGAACAGGAAGAGTTTAGAGGGATACAGAACAAATGCTGGCAATTGGGACTGTATCTGTTTCGGGAATCTGGTCAGCATTGACGAGTTGGACCGAAGGGTCTGTTTCCGTGCTGTACATCTCTATGGCTCTATGACTCTGTGTGTCTGATTTAATTCAAGGTTTAAACAATAATTGCAGTTTTGATCTTGAACTACATGGATAGTTCATCACACAAATATAACTAGCACATGCAAACTACAATCATGTAAGTCAAAATCAAAGATGTAGAACTTTTTTTTTTTACTTTGATCTCCATACAGTCCCTGGCATAGAGTTATTTAGAAATTACAACAAGAACACTTGGTCTAATCACTCACTGTCAATAGTTATTCTTTACATGATCAGCTGCCTAGTCAGTTCCCATAGCCATACATGCTCTCCTTCAATGACTTAACTGGCACATTCTTAAATGATGACATTGGGCAATATTTAATGGCAGTGTTAGCTGAACAGCTAAAATGAGTTCTTCACTGCCTCCTTTTGGGAAGGTTCACCAAATTCAGTGATGATTAGGCACTTAGCCAGGCTACAGCAAGTCTTTCCTGAGATCAAGCACCTTGCATGCAGCCAGAAATCATCAGCTTTGCATTTCTCAACAGCAGCAGCAATAGTTACTGCTGGCAAAGCACCCATCTGAGATTCAAGATCATCAATGGTCCCTGCTATAGGTAAGTGATGGTGGCATGGGAAGTGCAGACTAGACAGTGTGACGAAAAGGTGGGGTTTCAGCAGTAAAGGCAGGAGCTTGGTTCTCAGTATGCTCCCCCTTCCTGAAAATGGGTCCCTCAATCAGGCACTGCCACTGAGTAAATTATATTACACTATGGGCACTCATTTCTTACCTAAGGGCATCATTTGGCAATGGGACGGGTGCCTTCTTGGTGTGGACTTAAATCAGGGGAAGGAATGAGAAGATGACAGGGCCCCTACATGCCACCCATCCAATGAGCCAAACCTTCGATCATCAAATTCATCTTGGGTAGAACATTACATCTGCCCACAGTGTGTGATTCAGTCATTTTTTTCATCTTTCCCAAATGCCTATTTCTTTGAGTATTGAGGGCATTAGTTAAACACACTAATATTAAATTTCTCTCGTGTCAGTAGTGTGGGTCCCAGTGTACTTTTGGAAATCATCTTCAAAAATGGGTTTCAGCTCCTTTGTGATGGGATGCAAAAGCACGATATAATATATCTCTAGCTGTTGGCCTCAGAGAGACAATCGTTGAGATTACTCAGATAATCAATTCTTACTAACAGACATACCGGTGTTTTACAATGCAACCCTGCAAATGAAGTTTTATTCGCAAAAAAAAAGAAAATCAAAAGAAAGCTAAATTCATAAGTGTACAGAAATAGTTTTTACAGCGATATTGACATTCTAACCTTGTTGTTCAGATGACTATCTGTGGCATAGAGAAATGTGCTAACAACAAGAGATATACCTTCGAAAATAAGAGAAACTCTTGGATATAGCATCAACCAATTACAAGATCAATCTCCCATGTCAAAAGTGTTTGAAATGGATTTAATCCTATGAAGTATTAACTGTGTAAAAGCAATCAAATTATTGACCGCAGGACGCTAGGTTTCCTGTTGATAAAACCGGAGACACAGTAATATAAACAATCTTCCAACCTGAATCTCTAGCCTAGCAGGCAATAAACATAAAATGACATCCTACTGTCTGTAGCTATGTCCAGGATTATCAGCCAGTAGAGCAGTCCCACTGTGAGAAGTAGTTTAAATTGGCCAGTTCCGATTATCTGTTATCTCAGTTTACAGATTGACTGTATTATTTTTAAAACAAGATACATGCAGGCCATGGTACAGATGTTTCAGGTTACACACTGATAAACATCCATATTATTTTCATGCAGGAACTATTTAAACAACTGCATTGGAATGTCTTCCCTAGTCACTGAATTGTGCTTCTGTGTTATGTTATGGTTAAACCTACTTATGTAGAAATAACAGAAAGAAATTACACTAATTTTCATGTCTTTGCCACACCAGTTGCACTTTGAAATGTAGCAAATTCGGGATCTTAAAAGTGTGACTGGGTGAATGTTGATTCCCACCTGCTCCCATTTTCAGATAGATCTTAGCTAGAAGGTTAAAACTTTCTTCAGGAATAGACAAGGTTAGATGATTTAACCTTTTTTTTGTCATCGCTGTTTGATAGATTACCACCAACTCCAGGCCCAATTTGCCAAATATTGATGGTAGGAATTACTAGCTAACTATTTTGAGTACACAGTGAACAAATTCTTAGCTTCAATCAGTGGATTCTGAATGCTGGTTTCAGTTATTTTTTAAATGTCAGTAGCTTGTGAATTTTGAGTTTTAAAGGCTTCCTCCATTATTACCAGTTACATTACAGATGCTGGAAGCTTTTGATTACTTCTCAGAAACTGGTTTCTTCTTACCACTCCCAATACATCGAACTCTCTACTTTGTTGGAACAGGATTTGAAACTCAGCAGCCATCATGAAATCTGGACAAAAATTGGCTTGGGTTCCATAAAGCCTCTGGGTAGGCAAGAAGGAGTCCCAACCCCTGTATATATCTTTCAATGTCCAACCGCTGGTCTGTATCAGAAGTTAACTTAAGTTTAGCCACTTCAGTAAAAATGTACAAAATGCATCTTACCTAAAACTACCACCACATACATGTTGGAACTGTAGACTCTTCCATTCATTGTTGTTTCACACGTGACCATTCCTACATCTCTGATCTTGTGACTCAAAATAGTGAAACCTTTCTGATTGTCCCAGAAAGTTGTCATTCCATCAGCAGCAATGTATTTTTCTGGATATTTCTGTTCAAAAATTAAATAGGAATTATTTTGCCAACTAAAAACGCAATATGAAAATCTAAATGCCAACTGTTGTTAACGTTATATACAATGATTCACAAATATAGAGATATAACTGGACAGAAGGTGGGAATTCGGTTTTAGAGTCTATGCTGGATTTCTATAGAGCAATTCAGTCAGTCTCACTGGCCTGCTCTGTCTGTACAAACCTGTAAGTCAATTTTCCTCAAATGCCCTCCAAGTTTCTTCTAAAGCTGTTGATCGTATCTATTCCATCACCCTCATGAGCAGTGAGTATCTCATCATTAACACACGCAGTGTGAATAAGTTTCTCCTCATATAACCCCTGCATCTCTCAACCAATACATGAAATCTTAGTGCCCTCATCCTTGTATTATCTGCAAATGAGAACAGCTTTTCTTTCTTTACCTTATTGAAACCAAAACACATTAATCAAATGACCCTTCAATCACCTTAGCTCCAAGGAGAACAATTTCAGTTTCTCTGGCCTAACCTTTTAGCTAAAAATCCTCATTGCTGAAACCAGTCCAGTAAATCCCTATTACAGCCTTTCAAGGGTTTTCACATCCTTCCTAAATTATGGTGATCAGCCATGGACACAATACAATAGTTAGGGCCTAATGCAGTGGTCCTGGAACTGACCCCTGGGGAATTCCACGATTCTACTTCAGGTTGCAAAATGACCAGTGGCTATGACCCAGCATTTTGTATCCTTAAGCCAATATTTTATGCAAGTTGACATTCCCGGAACTTCCAGGATACAATTTTCTCATTTTCAGTGAAACTGCCTTGTCAAGTGAGATTTATGGTGACCAGTTCACCATCGCTTGGAATGAATTTTCTCAGGCAATCCTCCACACTTCAGCTCAATAATTATGTAACTAGTGTCTTCAGTGCCTTTCCCAGGGAACCATGTGCTTCACAGAGAGGGATCTTGGGATGTTGGTGCATTGGCTGGTCCAGAGAAGGGCCGCCCCTCTTCCTGTGGACTCACACACAAGGCCACAGCAGTAAACCCAGTCAGCTTTGTCCGAAATTATGTCCCAGGCCAGTGCTGTGTCCTGTGATAAGGCAGTGTCCAGAAATGCAGGAAAAAGCTCAATGATCTTCTGCACTCCAAAGCAATAAGTCTCTTCTCTGCTTCCTCACATCCATAGGGCTATAGCTCCTCAGTCTAATATCACCAGTGGCACACCGACTGATGTAACTGTAGTTCCCAGAACTAATTACAATTGACCTGCAGATTGACTATACCTCAGTCCCTGAAGGGTGAGGACACAGTCCTACAAGAACCCAGGCATCCAAGTGCCTGAATGATCATGACCCAATCTTCATTGACTGGAAATGAATCAGCCCCTCAACTGACCGTATTTCTCTTGGTCCCACTAAGGACTGCTCCAGTTTGACAATCACACATAGCCATTTGTTTGAAGCATATTCAGCTTGTCTGCCACGTAATCTGCCAGCACATGCTGCAGGTGTAATGTTGATGTGGCATGATGGCTCACATCAACATGTCCACCTCCTTTTAACTGTTTAGGGCTCCCACCATGACAGGCTGCCTCTTCCTAAGTGCTCAAAAAATAATACAAGCCACAGAGATTGGCCACCTGTAACTGAGCACTAAATACCCTGTGAACTAAGAAAGCAATGGGACACACACAGAAGCTGTTAGCACTTAAGTAAGTCTGCGCTGAAGTTAGTATGACAGTGCTAAGAAAGCAAGCTAAAAGCCTTAAGATACATCCTGTGTAGATGCATGATGTGTATGTTGGGCCTGTACACAAAGTGATCTGGCAGAAACACGCAACCCTAGATATCCCTGAGCACTCAAGTGCTGAAAGTCTGAAGTACTTTGTGATTTGACCTGACAGCAGACCTGATAATATGGCAAGACTGGTGGTTTGCCAATGCTGACCTGCATGGATGAAATGTCAAGTAGGATGTTGGCCATAGAGCGTAAAGGAATATTGTAGTGACAGATCCATTGAATGATGACTGGGACAAGCATTTGGAGAGCTGCAGCCACTGGTCACTCATTCTGACTTGCATATCAGCAATTTCTACCGCCTAGATTTTCGGGGAACAAGGGGCTAATTGCAATTGGATCTTTAATCAGATGCAGATGTATTGAAATAAGGTAGTCATTGCCAAACGGTGAGATTCTAAAGTTGCTGGTCAAGGCTGAGGGAAAAATTATGAAAGTTTTTCTCATCATTGAGATTCTGAGGTTTTCTTCTTTTTCCTCCTTTCTCACTGTTGCTTACACTATAACAGGGAGAGGAAAATTTGACCCTCAGGTTTGTCAACAGACTCTTACGTGGTACTTTGGCAAATGCTTTCTTAGAGCACATTAGAAAACATTTTTGGCTATCCATGAATCGACCTTGTCTATGCAACATCAGAAAGTTAATTTGATAAATCAAATACAATCTGCTTTTAACAAATCCATGCTGGATCTTGATATTTAACTCAATCCTTTGCAAGTGCTTCTTCATTTTTTCCCAAAACTTTAACCATCACTAATGTTAAACTGACTGGTCTTTGTAGATATAAGCAATGTCTTACACACTTTCCTCTAAGGGGGTATTATATTGGCCATTTTCCAATATTCTGGTATGTTGCATATATCAAGGAAGATTATGACGTGCCCTTCTAATATCTCCACCCTTAACAAACTGGATGCAAGCCATTGGACTTATCCACTTTGAGCTTGTCTTATCCACTTTAGGCATATCCAATCATTCTAGTACACCCTGCTTATCAATATGCATGCCATCCTTTTACTCGGTCATCTCAGCTTCCACCAATAGTTTGTCGATGTCTTCCTGCTTAGCAAACATCATAAGAAGGTACTCTTCAGATGTTCTACCCTTTTAAGTACTGTAAACCTCTTCTGAATCATAGAGTCCCTGCAGGGTTGAAGCAGGCTATTCAGCCTGTACTGACTGTCCAAAAAGCATCCCATCCAGACCCTATCCCTACATTTCCCATGGCTAACCTACATAGCCTGCACACTATGGGGCAATTTAGCACGGCCAATCCACCCTAACGTGCACATCTTTGGACTGTGGGAGGAAACCGGAGCACCTGGAGGAAATCCACGCAGACACAGGGAGAAATGCAAACTCCACACAGATAGACAGTCACCTGAGGGTGGAATTGAACCTGGGTCCCTGATGCCATGAGGCAGCAGTGCTAACCACTGATCCACCGTGCCAACATAAAGTCAGGTTACACAGCCCCTGATGGAGCACTAAACAACCTGTTCAGAGACGTTATAACATACTTCTGAAACAAGAGGGACTTGAATCCAGGCCTCCTGGCTCAGAGGTAGGGACATTACCACTACACCCCATACAAAACACAGTTAACCCCTTAATAACATTTTTGGACTATGAATCTAACTGTGAACATGCCAGAAATAATTATAGGTCGAGGGAAGCAGCCATCAGTTACACATCTTTGGGAAGGATGCTGTAAAACTTGAAAGGGTTCAGAAAAAATTTACAAGGATGTTGTCAGGGTTGGAGGTTTTGAGCTAAATGGGAGAGGCTGAATAGGCTGGGGCTATTGTCCCTGGAGCGTTTGGAGGCTGAGGAGTGACCTTACAGAGATTTATAAAATAATGAGGGGCATGGATAGGATAAATAGACAGGATCTTTTCCCCGGGTGGGGGAGTCCAAAACTAGACAGCATAGGTTTAAGGTGAGAGGGGAAAGATTTAAAAGGGACCTGAGGGGCAACCTTTTCATGCAGAGGGTGGTGCGTGGATGGAATCAACTGCCAGAAGAAGTGGTAGCGGCTGGTACAATTACAACATTTAAAAAGCGTCTGGATGGGTATATGAATAGGAAGGGTTCAGAGGGAAATGGGCCAAATGCTGGCAAATGGGACCAGATTTATTTAGACTATCTGGTTGGCATGGATGAGTTACACTGAAGGTCCTGTGATGTACATTGTTATGACTCTATGAGTCTATTGTCATTGCTAGTAAAGTCCTTTTCAATTCTCACTGAGGCAGGGAGGCTTTTTCTTGTATTCTAAACAGCTGAGGGTTTAAATAGTTTCACAGTGTGACAGTTTGGCAGACCTTACCCACCCTCCCAAAGTGTTTACATCTAGCCTAGAAATTGTCGACTCCCTGAAGTCAAATAGCCCTGCTGAGTTCAGCTTTCCCTCATGTCAGTCACACAACTCCACTTTCTCCTGCCAGAAAAAAATGGGATCTATCCAAAATGGTCGTAAGGCTTCTGAATTTGATTCATCATATTCAAATGTCTTTGGAGCCTCCATCTGTCTGTACAAACATAGTCCTTCATGTTTTTACATGTAAGCATTCAAAGCCTGTCTTTATATTCCTTGTAGCTCTCTAGTCTGCTCCTATCTAATATGGTACTATATTCTTCACTAATACTGCCGAACACCAAGAGACATGGCCAATTCTCACTCGTCTCACTACACACAGACAACGAACAACACGAATTTGACTGGGACAACACATCCATAATCGCACAAGCCAAACAGAGACATGCCAGGGAATATTTGGAGGCCTGGTATTCCAACCAGAAATCCATCAACAATCAGATTGAATTAGACCCTGTGTACAAACCACTGAGAAATATAACCAGAAGTAATACCAACCACCCCAGCAAACCAAGGCGTATAAATAACAAGTGGGACAGACACTGACACTTCACCGGAGGCACACTGATGATGTTACCTACTGATGATGGATGACGAAACATTTGCAACCAAACCCACCGGCTCAGTGAGCATGTCTACAACCTCATCCATAACCTGAGCTACAAATCTTCTCGAAAACTGTGAACACTCACTGCTTTATGCATCTTATTCCTCTTTTCTCATTCTACATTCTGGTGCCCAGCCTTCTGCTAATTTAATTCAAATTCTCCACAAGCACATTATTGAACATTCCCATTAGGACATTGTTCCAGTCCTGTTGATATGCAAAGTTTCCCTTTTGAAAAAGTGCCTCCAGTCCAAGAACTGGTCTCAATGGTGCAAGAATCTGAAGGAATCACACCTACACCATGTGTCAAGTCATACACTGATCCTCCATATCTTCCTATTTCTACTCTCATTAGCATGTGAAAATAGGTGTAATCCACAGAATACTATATTTGAGATTCTATTTTTTAACTTATTTCTTATCTCTTGAAAGTCTGGTTTTAGCACTTCAATATTTGCTTTCTCTATATTGTTGTTTTGTAGTATAATAAATTTGTGGTATACTAAAATGGCAAACTTAACATTTTCATTTCAGGGAGGTCTCCATTATTCTATAATATCTGCAAACCAAAAAAAAGTTAAATTATTCTGAATGTGATCATGCTGCTAACAAAATTGCATTGAAATACACATTTGCATTTATATCTTGATTAACATGGTTGTTATAAGGTAAACTGTAACTTAGCATAACCTGGGGAAGTTATATGTTGCAGTCATGTAAATAAGCAGTTATATTTACCGTATGTAGGGTCACATTAAGATCCGGCATGGATACTTTGCATGGAATCACTATTGTCTTGGTTTCCATTATGTACAATGCTTCTGGGTTCCCAGGATAGGAATTCACAAAGGGAATTTGATTGTCTAAAATGCAAACGATATATCTGTTTAACCTCTTGAAGTGAAGTAATTTGTGATAACAGCAGATGATTCTAAAGCATATTATATGGTTGCAACAGATGTTGATAACTTCAGTTAAATCTTTGGGGTAAATAATTGCAGTACTTTAAGATTTTGGCTTATTTGGATGACTCATTTGAAGTAATGCATGTAGTTTCTATGAGTATGGGTTTATTCGGCTTAGTGACTGACACCAGGACTATATGGTAAGGACTACTGTTCTTTTATTCCTCTACTGGTATAGAGCTGGTTTCTAATTCTTAAGATTTGAGATTGCACACCAGCCTTCAAGAGTTTACCAACTTAAGGAAAATAATTGCCTCTTTCAAACTATTACATAAACAGCATTGTAAGGTAACAGCTCCAGATGTCACTGATCTTGGACAAGATCTTGCACCTTGCAAGGCTATTTGGGAAATCTCTGATATGGAGGTTGCCGAGGTTGCTGTTTAATAGTCAAATCTACTTTACTCCCATCAGGATTAGTTCTGGCAAATGAATACCCACTAAAGTCCAGGTCTAAGTCTTTGATTCCTTTCTTTTCCTTCAGTTGTATTTTTACTAACACAATTTTCATCGGAAGTAGCTATCAAATGAATTCCACCTAATCAAGCCACTTCTGAAAGTTAATGAGAGCAGTGAGGCAGTTTGGCATTCACATTTAACAAGTGTTTGCCTGTCTCCTTTCAATTTTGACAAATATTCATAATAAGTTATAAATGCACAAAAATGGCAGTTTGGGGGTAAAACGTTCCAAAAGCTGGTAAGGGACTGTGTATATCCCCACTCAATGAAAACAGACAAATTTACAAGTCTATGAGCCCCAAACACCAACAGCCAAACAGCATAAGCTCATTTTAAATCAATGAGTGCATTTCACTGCATTTCTGTAAAATTCAATGGGGCACTAAAACATTCTTGAGCCTAAGATCATGGAGAAATAGTTCAAAAATATGATGTTTATTCAAACAATCCTTTTCACAGCCCATCAGCTATCTTCCAGCTATTGGGTATGCAACTAAGGTACAAGCTAAACAATGTTTTCCCTCAAATTGTTTTTATTTACGATCGATATTTTCCTTGTTTATATAACCGGGATGGAATTACAGTACGGTTCATTTCAAATAAGCTATCTTACGAAACATTTTACTGAATGAGTTTCACCAGGAATTAATACCCTTAGGCTAACTAACTTTAAATCGAACATACCACATTCGTTCCCGTTCAATCTCTGCAACGTTCTTCAAAAAGTGTAATATTGTTAAGCATTATAAATGGCGGAGAATTGCAATCTTCTATTATTAAATTGCTGTTTGCGGATAATTCGCAATTGTTTAAAGACCACTTGCATAAATGCAGAGTCAAGGACACCAATCAGGAAACTGGTCTTTTTTTCATTTTAACTCCCTCTGATCGGTAAGACAGAAGGAAGTGCTGCAGGCAATCTGCGTTTAACCACATTGCTTTGGAAGTCGGAAAACAGGAACCCTATGGAGGTTAACCCCAGCATGTGGTGGGCTTTATTGTGGGTACACTGTTCCAGTTGAAGCAAAGGTGATCATTTGTACGGCGTCTGATAAGAATCTGTATGGGCTCCCACGAAAGAGGCATAGCCATGAGATCAAAAGGTAAAACAGACCAAATCCACATGCTTCAGGAAATGCAAGTTTAAACTGAAATGCTACCTACTGGAGAAAATGTAACCAATTGAAATTGTGTTCTGTTTGTGTTTATATCCATACGTTAAATTTGAATCGCTGCCACTCTCCCTTGTGCTATCACTTATAATGTTGTCTTTTTAAAAAAAAAACTGGTTGCATGTTTTTTCCCCTTCATTACTTGCCTTATTAAATTATAACTTTGGAATGTTCAGTTCATATTAAGTTGAAAGAAGTGACCTCCAGGGGAGTAATGACAAAGGTGGAACTGTGATTGAAACTGGAATTGCTTTTCAATGATTATACAAGGCAAAGGACAATTGAGAAGTTTTCATACCCTGAACAAAGACATAAATACTTGCAGCTTCTTGCACCGTAGAGTACTTGTAGAAACACCGATATGCTCCCGTATCGTTTGCGATGGTTTTTGTCAAAATGAGAGTTTTGCAAAACGAGGTACTGTTGGTGCAATCAGTCAGGGATATCCTGTGTTCCATGTTACTGTGATTTCTGGGCCATGACCATTCCAATGGTTCACGTCCTCTACAGCAAACATTTAGAAGCAACATGCCCTCAATTAGAAATGCGGAGCTGGTTAAAGTTAGTTTTCATTTTTTTTTTTGTTTACAATACAAAGAGGCGAAACGTTTAACGATTGTACAATTCGTCCCTATTACGTTTCCGAAAAGGAATACAGACCTGGATATAAATTACATGGTGTTTAAACAGATTTATTACACAATTATCGATTGGAGAGTGGATTGCAATAATCATTTAAAGTAGAAATAAAGAGAAAATATGTAGAATACGTTATAAAGGTCATAGTGAAATTATATCGTGAGTGTTTAAGCGCCATAATGAATAGAATGCTGCAATTTAGCTGTATTTTCACTAATGTTTCAAAATGAAAATTGCTGAGAGGAGCAACTGTAGAACATGCTTTACTCAGAGAGTAGTAAGGGCGTGGAATGCCCTGCCTGCAAAAATAGTAGACTCGCCCACTTTAAGGGCATTTAAATGGTCATTGGATAAACATATGGATGATAATGGAATAGTTTAGGTTAGATGGGCTTCAGATTGGTTTCACAGGTCGGCGCAACATCGAGGGCCGAAGGGCCTGTACTGCGCTGTAATGTTCTATGTTCTATGCCATCTAATATAATTACTTGTGCTGCGTAACGCTAAAACAGTGGCTCTCTTGAGGAGTCTTAGAATTGGAGTCTGCTATTGAATGACATTTGTTTCAGCTGCATCAACATAGGTTTAGTCAAACGAAATGAATTAGTTGAAGGCATTGGGAAGAGAATTCCAAGGGGAAAGACCATAGCAAATGGATATTTATCTAAACATTTGACTCAGTTCAAGAACAGTAGCAATTTTATTTCAGTTTTTTTATATACAAATTATCGGTTTCAAATTTAACGCTTCCAGTTAACACAGATTTTCAGATATTTTGGAAGTTTCCTGATGAGAATTCACAGACAAAAGGTATGAACTCAGAATGTTGTCCACATGTCATCTTTTGATGACAGAAATAAAATATGAACTGTGGACTGTAAATGATAATATCATACTTTCCTATTTCCCATTTCACTGCAACAAAAGATTAGCTGTGATTGTAAAGTTTCTACAGCAAATTTTATAGATCTTGCAGGCTCTTTCAAAGCTGTTCCTAACTAATACGTTTTAATGAAGGCAATTGTGAGTCATGGAGAAGTGTTTTAAAACATGATGAACTTAATGCTCATACAGTAACACAAGTGTTCACTTGTTTAACTTTCATTGTCCACATGTACACAAAGATAGTAGAATTTTATACAAATACATGAATGTATGTCATTGTAGTTAGGTAGGTCGGTAAACAGACAGACAGGAGAAATTATTGGAAAAGATATGCAGATATTTTCATACATTTACACGTACACATTTACAATCATACAACTTTAGCACATGGTTATGAGATGTGTGGCAAATCTTTTAAAAGTATTATTTCATGTGAAGTGCAGAACTTTCTCTTACCTGCAAGTAATTATTAAAGTGTCATTAGCATTAATTATATGTTCTTTATTCTGGATGCTAAGATGTGGGGAAGAATAGGAACCTGCAAATTAAAACATTTGGTTAATTTCAAAGTGAAACATCTTCAAAAACAAGTCAGACTATGCATAGTAGTTGATTATGTTAAAGTGAGGTTGAAGGCTGAAAAGTCCAATTCAAATGATAACAGAATTGTGACAAAATAAGTTGTCTGCTTTGTGACACTTGTTTGCCTTACCACCTCATTGTTATTAGCATTATTGAATGGTAATCTGTCCATGGATCAGCCATCAATTGACATCATATCATGCATGGTACACAAGGGTGTAGCCTGGGCTAGAAAATGTGCAAACACTGCTGTAGGGAGATAGGAAGGAAATTCTTCTGGGGAGTGACCAGGGACTATTTCCTGTGAGGAACCTTGTAAAGTTATACTTTAAAACATATATTTTCCTGTACTTGTGACTATGTCTTCTGTAATGTTTGAGGATTCAGCTGAAGATTGGAAATTGTGATAAAACAATGAGGATGAAGTAGTAATAGTTCAAAACATACCTGAATATTAAATAATTACATTGTTTTTGTTATTAGAAAGTTACAGTAAGTTTGCTGCATTAAGTTTTTATGATAAACCTTTCTATCTTGACATTCTATCACAAGTTCTTCATGAACATTGTAAATAGATATCTACATTCCATGCACAATGTTTGCTACAAATCTCATATTAATTTCACACGCAAGATCAAAAAAACACTATGTTCTTTTCAGAGGTATTAAGAACTGCAGATGCTGGAGTCAGAGATAACATAGTGTGGAGCTGGAGGAACACAGCAGGCCAGGCAGCATCAGAGGAGCAGGAAACTTGATGTTTCGGATCAGAACCCTTTTTCAGAAATTTGAATTTTCACTCTAGATTCAATGAATAAAGCCTGACTCTACAGGATTAGGTCTATATGTATGTAATGCCTAATTTAAAAATAAACATTTTCTATTTAACTCATGGAAAATACGATGACCTACTTGGTGAATGTTCTTTTAACAATATCTTAAATGTAGAAATAAATTAGAAGAGATTAACTTCATGACAAAATTTAATTCATTAATCGCCATGGCAAAAGAGAAGCTAAGTTTAAGAGAATGACACTTATGCAAAAGTTACCAGGTCTGCTTAAAAATGTATATTTTCAAACTACTCATTTGTTTATGTATTGACAAAATATTACAGCTTAAACATTCTTCATTAGGACAGTCGCATTATTGTGATAATAGGAGTAATACGCCCTGGGATGCTGCCAACACTTTTGATTTTCTGAGTTAAGCTTACTTTTCAATGTGGTGTTGTCAGTACCCCATACACAAAGCAAAGTGGCATATCAAATACTATCTAGAGTTTTAGCAAGATATCTTAAAGCAACTGCCAGAATGAAATGGCTGCATTAAGCCTGGGATGATGAACAACATTTTTCCAGAAAGGACTTTTAGTGTTCATGTTACACGAAGAGAAGGACAAGGGGACACCTTCTCTGAAGGCGAATACAATAATAGCTGGATTGAGGTAGCTCCAAGTGTGAATGTGTCTCAAAAGTAGCCAGATGCTTGGAGCAGGTGAGGAAGAAATTTGCTGCTTTTTGAAATATAACTGAGGTAAACATGTTTAGACATTGCCTAAATTTACAATGTTGCCCAACAAGGAATCTAAAAAGCATGTTATTGCATGTTTGGTCACATCACAGGGCAGGACTCCATGGTGAATTCACACACTTATTTCCCAAATGCCAGGCATGTGTATTTTTAGCATTGCACTTTATACTGCTGTTTCAGTCTGACCAATAAAATATCAAAAGAAACAATCACTTGGTATGTAACACCAGATATATAAGATGATGCCTGCTACTGACTGAGGAAACTTCATCATTTCTTCCTCTATTCCCTTGAAGATTAGGTTGCGTAGGACACACTACATTTGAATCATCTGCAACCACAAGGTTAACATGCTTTACATATTTCCTCTGATTCTTCTTTTCTCCTTTGGACTTAGGACAGGTTGTGAAGTAGAATATAAGAAGTTCTTAATTAGGCTGCATTCAAATATACAGCTATATATGGTTAACTGAGGCCAAATGAGGTACAGTTTTAAAAGGTAGCAATAGCAAAACCTTCAAATAAATGAATAGCTGTGTCAAAATACTGCAACGGCTTGACAGACACCTTTAAAGACTGGATTCAATTTGGTGATTATTCAACCAAAAGTCATCTATTTCTTGTTGGTGCTGAGGTGCAAAAGTTCTGCTCAGGACGAAAACTGTATTATAAAGTGAGGCACTTAACTTCTTTCTTATAGAACAAATAAGCAGCACGGGTCTGCTATGTGGTAGTGTAACTGATGATTTCCCATTCCATTACCCTATGGTATATATATCTGAAGAGAAACGGTTCAAACAGCCCCAGAAACTGATGATACAGTTAACCATTCTCTATGCATATGAGAACTTTAGTTACCAGCATTAACCTCATTAGTAAATATATTGTTTCCCCAAATTGTAATGAATCAATGTACATTAAGTTTTGATTTTCATCAGCTTTCAGTCTGATTTCTGCTAATCTAATAATTTTGGTTTTGATTATGCAATAAACTCTGTCTAAAATGACATTTAGAATTGTAATGGAAAGCTGAAAGGTGGCAAATATCACAATTTCATATGTGTCATGTATTTCGTTGTAATGAATTCATTAGCATTGATTATAACAAAGTTAAGCTAAACACAAATAGACCACCATGAGTTTGGTGGAGACAAAAGCCCTAGAACCAATAAAGAAGCAATTAGGATCTATGATTCTATAACTGTATGTGGAGGAATGTCATTTTATTCTGAGTAAATCAATCAGGATGGGCCCAATGGTATTCTTCCTCTTTAAGTATCTTGTGAGTTTGTGTGACACCTTTCACTGCCCCACAAAATACTTCAAGTTAATACATCAGAAAAATGAACGCAGATAAAACATGAAGCAATGACTGTAAAGTGCAAGCATTGTATATCGTCAAATAGCATTCAAAAGGATACGTTCGAACAATTATGTGAGCACTTTAACAATGGCAGGAATGTACAGATGGTACACGCAGAGCATTTTATTTTGTAGTTTAATAGCTCTTAAATAGTCTCTTCAAATCGCATGGTGTTGTTCTGCAGCCTGTATCAGAACAGGATGAGAGCAGTTGGTCAAACGTTAGCTAACTGACTGAAACTTCACAAACTCGGGGCGCATTTCCGATCTTCTGATGTTGCCCAATGTTAAGGACTTACAAAGGATGTGAACTTTTGGAATGACGTGGACAATCAGCAGATTTGCTCAGCCTGTGGGAATATCAAGGTTTTCTCTGAACAAATTTCTTTACATTGCAGCATCGACAAAATAAAAAAAAAACTTAAATAATAAGGGTCCATTACAAAGCGCTTCAAACACAAGAGCCTTCCTGCTCCTGTGATGCTGCTTGGCCTGCTGTGTTCATCCAGCTCTACACCTTGTTATCTCAGATTCTCCAGTATCTGCAGTTCCTACTATCTCTTGAGAAAATTGTGTATGGTTCATTTAATGGGCAAAATGGTACGTTATATCAAAGACTACATTTTTTAACTAAAGATTTCCTTCTGTCCAGCAACCAGATCACGGTTGTTATGACAATTGCTCACAGTGACACCACGAGATGTGAACGGTACAAATATTTTACTTTTATCCTGCTGTACAGGTATGCTGTATGCTGTCCGTCTATCTAATAAGGCTGCTGGAGGAGTGAGCAGGTCTGCTGGGTCCAAATGCTGAACTAAGTTCAGTTTAAAGTATGGAGAGATTCACCTCGTTAGAACGTCTGTTAGAGGGGACTTGCACTTATTGCCCAACAGATTTCCTCTGATCAGCAACTACTCCCACGTCTCCTGCCCGTCTGTCATGAGCTACTTCAGGGAAACAATCCGTGTTGACAGCAGACTTCAGTAATCCTATCCACCTTGCCCCCTTCCACCCCTCCCCACCACCCTCTCCCCCAACGCTCTAGCACCATTTACCCACCACTCACCTTTAATTAGCTACCAGGGAACTGCAGTGACTTTAAAACCTTGTAAAAATGAATAGCGGTAATCCGCCCCAGGTCACTTTTCAATTTCCTTTTCTAGGAATACATATGAAAAAGGGCAGTTTTAAATCGTTATTTTGTTTTCGTTCCTTTCCTTTCCTTTCACAGGCCAAATTAGGTGCATGAATTATGATTTCAAGCGAGAAATGCCGGATCCAGGTATATAAATTCGAGATATATTTGAACGGTTCGGAAGACTGGGAGTGATATTACTCAAGGGTCCGGGCTTTAAAGGTTGGATACCATACATAGTATGAGCAGTGGGTTTGCTCCCAACAAGAGTGACTTGTGTTTAGGTAGGAGTGCGATCGGGACCCGACTATGCTGCAGATAGCAGAATAAATAGGAGCAGGAGTCGGCCATTCAGCCCCTCAAGCCTGTCCCCTCCACTGTATAAAATATCTGTCCCAGTTGTCAACTCCACTTTCGTGTCAGATTGTCATTGCCCTCAAATCCTCGACGTATTTCTCTTCTTTCTTTTTTATCTATCTATCTATCTATCTATCTATCTATCTATCTATCTATCTATCTATCTATCTATCTATCTAACCCCTCTTTATACCGATAAAGTTTCGGTTTGTTTTTCCTACTAAACGTTCTTCTCCAACATTTATAGGGATCTCGGAGAATGGCTACCATGAAACCTGCTACCCAGATGCTACCCAGATTGTGAAGAATATCCTGGAAGAGCGGTTGAACTTGACAGCGAGTTCCACCATTTGTTTCGAAAGCCGATGGGGCTGGGTACGAGTAAAAGATGGGCCTTCGGTCACCTGTTGTTCCTTTTTACCTCCCAGAAATCTCCATCGCACTTTCCCCGGCCGCTGGGCCCATCTCCACTTTCCCAGCAGCTTATTGAGCGGTGTTAAAGCTGAGCTCCTAAGGGAAGCGGCTTTCGCCCTGACTGATTTCAGTTCACAGTACTGTTCCGCCCAGTTTTCACCAGGTTATGTTCTTGGGGTAAATCATTTCACAGTGGACCACCTATAAAGGCCCATACCATAAACTGAACCAGCAGGCAGAGTATTTATTTTTAACATAAATGAACTGCCGAACTGCCGTTCAACTTTATCCACAAGCTTTCGGCTTCAATACTGCATGACAGTACAGTCAGCAGAAGAGGACACTCGGTGAAATATAAATGGGCAGTAACCCATTGTAAATCACAGATCATTACAAAGTTTCCACTGAAATTCACAGTTGTCCAACTATTAACTAATCTTTGTATTTCACCAAACGGGGAATTCAAAGCGAATCCCAAGCCATCACAAAGACACACCCGATTCCTGTCATTTGTTAGATCCTGAGAATCTGAGCCTAGGGTTTTAGTGGTGCAGTGTTAGTGTCCCTATCTCTGAACCAGGAGGCCTGGGTTCAAGTCCCACCTACTCCGAAAATATATGTAAGTGATAGCATCTCTTGAATGGGTTGTTTAAAAACATTTTTGTAACCTCACCCTAGGGCTCTTGTACTAGATAGTGTCCCTACCTCTGGACTAGGAGGCGCGGGTTTAAGTACCACCTGCTCCAGCGCTGTGTAACAGAATAATTAGAAAAGTCTAACCCTGAGCCTGCAGTGGGCTGTTAACTCGAACTAACCAGGGCACCGCAAGTGATTTGAAGCTCGATGTGTAAAGCTGCTTCATACAACGAGAAGGTTGAGTCTGCTTGGCTACTATTTGTTAGGGCTAACGTACCATTTATTTTTGTTCAATGAGATTTAATAAGTTATAGGTCGGATTCCCTGCTTCTGAATACAGTGGACGCCTCACATAGTCATTTTTAATAATCTCAAAAAAGCACCTTTTGCATTCGGTGTACCTTAGACTCCGTTAAGTTTCTAACGAAATGTAATAGCACATGGAGTTAAATTCCGATGGAATATGTAATAATTGCACAATGTTTTCAATAATTAGAAAACTACCTCAAATTTGCATTATAAAATGCTTGCATTTTCTACAACGATTCAAGTTGAATTGTGCTCTGAATTCTTCGATTTGAATTTCTTGACATTCAATCTTACACACAACATTGCCAGGTTAGTCTGCAAAGAGTCCTCTCACCCGTTGCATCAGGAAATCCCGTCCATAGCCACACCAACAGCGCGAAAACCCACTTCTTCCACATGTCACAGTGGGAATGCCGGAATCCAAATGAACGTGGTCTCCCGTTGCTGTGCCAATCTGCCTCCTTTGTCAATATTCGCTGCTTCTCACAGCGTTATTCTCTTGCTGTCGATCGGACCGCGGAACATATTAAAGTCACCTTTCAATGACTGGGGGTTAATAGGAATTCTGCAAAAGCCGCTCATGTGATAATCCAGGAGCTTTTCCTCTGATTTACTCCGCCCTGAAAAGGAAGCTGCTGTAATTTTGAGGTCAGTTCAATGTGTGTCAAGTGGACATGGCAATTTGTGGATTATATACGGGAGGAGGTGCCGAACCACGAAAGTTGATCCATTCGTCACGTGACGTGACGGCGCTGTTGCTCCTTAAACATCCCGAACAACCAGGAAAGTTATCACAAAATTGCAGTTCTTTTCGGGTGAAAACATGTTAGCACACATTGTTGAAAAAAAATTTGATTAGAACAGTTCTACAATACGAACCTATAATTTTCTACATGTTGCAATCGTATACCACCACGCCTCATTAATATTCTTTGGAAGCGAAAATAAATTTTATGGATTCCATTAAATTTTACAAAGCAGAAAAAAGGACAACGTGAAATATGCAGCTGAACCTATGTGTGTATTTGTTGTCATCTCTAAATGGTGTTTACAATTTTTCTTTTATTCATTCACGGGATGAGGATGTAGCCGGCCAGGCAGCATTTATTGCCCAGAGGGCAGTTAAGAATCAACCACATTGCTGTGAGTCTGAAGTTACACGTAGGCCAGACCAGGTAAGGGTGGCAGTTTCCTTCCCTAAAGGGCATTAGTGAACCAGATGGGTTTTTCCCCGACAATAGGCAATGGATTCATAGTCATCATGGGATTCTTCATTCCAGATATTTAGTGAATTCAAATTGCACCGTCTGTCCTGGCGGGATTCGAAAGAAGATCCTCAAAACATCACCTGGGTCTCTGGATTAACAGTCCAGCGATAATACCACTCGGCCATTACCTCCCCTTTTCGTCGGGAATCGAACAGTGAGATGGTTAAATAGTATTTAGCACTTCTGGGTACAAAAATAGCCATTACTGCCCAGTCATTTAATTTTCTAATTGAACGTATATGCACCACTTTCTTACACTAACCTATGAACAAGTGATGTCAGATCTGAGGGAGGGTCACTCGACCCGACACATTAACTGATTTCTCTCCACAGATACTGCCAGACCCGCTGAGCTTTTCCCAGCAATTTCTGTTTTTGTTTTAGATCTTTTTATTGTTGAGTTTCGAAGTGACGTTCCAGTCTAACAGAGCCTGACGGTCTTCACCAGTTTGTCATGGCCCTGTGTGAAATATGTTTGAGCAATCTCCGTCCAGATCCTGGAGGGGATGAAAGGACATCATGACAGTTCAGAGAAGCTACAGTGTCACAAACCGCAATACCAGTTCTGAAGAAGGGTCACTGGACCTGAAACTACTTTCTCTTCACAGATGCTGCCAGATCTGCTGAGTGTATCCAACAATTTCTTTTCGCCTTTCTCATTTCTAGCATCCGCAGTTCTTTGGAGATTTTGTTTTGACAGTGGCAGTGCTGGGGTGGAAGTTGTTTGAATTTGAGAGTAGGGTTAGCTCTGAATTTTTCTCGAGGTATTTAGATGTGCCGATGTGATGCCAAGGCTTTCAAGACAACGGGCCGAGTGCTGGAAAATGAGATTAGAACAATTCTGTGGGTGCTATTGGCAGGTGCAGACTGGATAGGCCTTAGGCCTATTTTCTGTATTGCAGATCACTATGACTATGCTACATCTGCTAATGAATTACTAATGAATTTAGCTGCATCAAATCGAAGTACTATCTTTACCAGAGGCACTTGAATATCAGGAGCATCAAATACATGAGATTAGACTCCACGTAATTTATTTTCAATACGTCAGTTATCTCCAGACAACACCTTTTTTTATTTAATTCCAAACAATAGCAATGTTTTACTTTAAATGCAAAAAGATTTATGCATGCCCGTGACTCAGCCTTGCTTTCCCATCATACTTTACAAAAACGTTGTCATGTTGGTGAGTTCACTTTCCTGCTGCCCTTCCTTTATGAATTATTGCATCTACGCCCGCTACAATTCATTATAATTGTACGTTTGCCAGCAAGGACACACTTAAAATCGTGTCTTTGCTCCCGATCCTCTGACCCGTGAGTCAAACGCGATGACTGCAATAAATCTACAGAGAGCAGAGCAAGGATATCATTTCAGATGCAACTCATAGAACAAAACTATCGGTCGTTCGGCAGAGTGGGCAGTGACTGGGCCTCATGAGGTGTAGTTTATGAGAAAAACGGAGAAAGGAGATCAGTGTGGCAGGAAAAGGCTGCAATGTTAGAGCAGTGCAGAAGTAGCGCGATGCTCATGTCAGTATGGATTTCGGATGCTTTAGCAGGATGTCTTCAACTCTACCACCATCTACACACCTCACAACACCCCCTCATTGCATTGGCGAGCAGTGGACACAAAAACCTGTTTAGAAAAAGAGCAATCTTTCGAGCTGCCACAGCAGTCTTGGCTAGAGATGTGGCTGACACCTGCAAGTCCCTACAACACTAGGCTCTCGATCTGAGTCATGCTAAGCAGAGGAAATGCTGAGTTTGTTCTCCTTGGTATACATGCAGAATTGTTTTATACATGTACTGTTTTGTACAAATACCTTTCTGCTTTGCACGGCAATGCCAACAGATGACTCAAACCTCATTCAACACCCTTGGAAGCAACAAGTCTGTTACCTTACATTCGCAAGTCAGCTGTTTACCTATAGTACACGTGGGATATCAAGCACTACACTCGATACTGTGTAAGAATTCTGAACATCGAGGCTGCTTTGAGACTTTGAAGAAGAGCATATATTCCATTCAAATCGACAGGAGGGATTGCTGTTGTATCTCTATATGTTGTATATCAGAACAATGTGAAGCTGACAGGAGTACAGTATGCCGCTTCTGAGACAGTCAGACTAGAGTTGTCAGTGTTTTTGTCAATGAGAGGATAGTCACTGCCTTCAGTTGTACCTAGACTGATGCAGGAATTTATCACCGGCATGAGTCACCAAAATCAAGAAGAAAAGCCGAGATCTACAGAACATTAAAAGTAGCTGCATAACAACTTCCGAAGAAAGTAAAAGTTCTCAATTGTTATCGCCATTCAGGGTTAAACTCTCAGGTCGATGATCTTTAGCCCAGAAGTTCGCGACCTGGAATGTAAATTGTTTCCCCTTTTCTAGATGTTGCCCGGCCTCGCTGAGTATATGGAGAAATTTCTATTTGTGTTTTGGCTTCCAGCTTCCGCAATATTTTGCGTTTACAGTGAATTCAAACCTAGTTACAGACAATACAGTGTGGAGTTGTCTCTGACTCCAGCATCTGCAGTTCTTGCTACTCCTTCCTAGTTACATTGGAGTGGGCAGAGTGCGAACAGCTAGCTGAGGTCAGCAGCTGTTCTGCCTGGTACCCATGCTATTCTTTCGATTTAGCAGGGTTTTAACAGTTTGCACGTTCCTCATGAGTTTGTAAAGGGTGGGATGATCGTTGCAGCGGAGTTTTGTTTGAATTTTCAAAACCTTCAGGCAATAAACTTTACTCGTCAGCTTGCAAGTGCAGAGGTGGCTCGACTGAGGCAAGAATTGGACTTTGCTTATCTCTCCCTAACACTCCCAAACGGAAGCTGCTCCAAGTTGATGTGGCCAAACACTAAAATATAACCCTAATTAAGACCCTCTCTGTCCTTATCGAGTTCCCAGAAGATACTGTCATTCGAGGCAACACAATCTCAAACACACTTCAAACTGGACTCACGCTGTTTAGTTTCCATCAATGTGTCTTAGTCATGTAAATAGTTTATATGATTTGCCCAATTTTTAAAAATCTAACAATCAACTCTCCAAGTGTGAAAGACCACAGAAAACAATCCCACAGACTCTCTCACAGATTTGTTTTTCAATCACAAGTTGCTGCGTTGCTGACTATATATTATGACTTCAGTTGTCAAGAACAGCAATCTTTAGAACAGGAGGAGATTGAATCTATGACTGTCTGAGGGTCATATGTTCCGCCGTGGTTTACACAAGACCCAACTGTTTCACATTAAATCAAACAAGCTACTATAACACATCGGAAAAAGCTGCCTTCTCTTAAGTGCTTTCTTTCCACAATGGGAGAGACTTCCTGCTCGAACGAATGTTTTGTTCGCCTTGCAGATGATCCCCCGCAGTCACGCCCGACCAGTTTCTGTCACGATTTCCAGTTGAGTAAAGAACTTGTTGAATTTCTGGTTCTCTGTTAGATAAGCACGAGGCGCGGTGCATATCGTTTGTGTGCTCCATTCCTTCTCGCCTGGCTCTTATCAACATGAAAAAACAAACTTTTAGGTCACGTGAAAACTAAGATGGCAGTATTGGAAGAGTTGCATGCCGAATATAGTCCAGGAGTTAACTCCCCTGATGGTGAGCAGTACCCGCTCCGCCAAATGTCTGACATGTACATTGTAAAGTCCAACAGGCTCCATGCGATTTTCTGCCTGGTCATTTTAAATATTTGGAAAATTATGTACAACGTTGCTCTGGAAATGCCAGTGCAAATTCCAGCGTGACACGCGCTCTATTGTTTGCAACTGAAATGGTTAAACTACAATTTCCCCAGAATCAAACTTTGTATTGATCTTCACAAGGACAGAGAGCTGCTAGAATGGTCTGAATAGTGGCAGATGAGGTCCAGGGCAGAGATGTTTAAGGTGATTCATTTTGTTGGCAATATCATTTGCTAGACAATCAAAACTGAAGAGTTTCAGATCCCCACCATCTGCAGTTCTTTCAAAAATTATTTTAAATTATTTTAAACTATACTTAAAGTATTATTTTTAAGGGCATTACTCTAAAATGGATGCAGGAACGGAAGGACATAGATATATTTATGTATAAGGTAGCAAGACAGTTTGAAAAAGCACTTCATTAAGTATACAGTAACCCAGGCTTTGTTAATATTGTCATTGATTATTAGAACAAAGAAGATAGGGTCAAACTTGCATAAAACACTGTAGTAATTCTAGGTTCTGAACTTTAAATAAGATGTGAAGGCTTTGGGGAAGGTCAGGAAATATTCCCAAGAATGATTTCAAGAATAACAGACTTTAGTTATGTAGGAAGTTTCGAAAAGTTGAGAATGTTTTTCAATAGAGAAGGTCAAGAGCAGACTTGATAGAGGTGTTCCAATTCATGAG